TGAACAATAACCTACACTGTCTGATCTGCAGCATATGTCTGAATAAAATGTAGTGATCCAAGCCATAGCAAGGGCCTTATTTACCTTTTGTAAAGGAGTAGGGTCAACAAGTTGGACACAAGGTTCAAGTCTAACCCAGAAAATTTTGTAGCTGATTCTCTGCTGGAAAGAAACTAATTTCTTTGCAGGTCCTAAGACCCCAGATAATTACCCAGAATTTCTGTATAGTGCTGATCCTTGCCCAAAGGCTACTTTTAATGCAGGTATTGTTGCTTCTCAAAACAGCAGGAGTATAAAACTTGGATTCTCCATATCTGTCTTCCCCAGATCCTGATTAATTGGTTCTTCTAACAGACTCTTGTGAACATCTTACTGCCTTTTCTAATTTGTCTTTCTCCTGTAGTCCTAGCTATAGTGCAGCTGCTTCATCACACGGGAGTTAGATCTACGTGATCTAAAATGCCCAGAGCCCCATTGACAGTGGTCCAAAACCAGACAGTGTAGTACAAAACGTGCAGGCCTTCTTTATCACTTAGTATATTCGGTGGTTTGATTTCAAAATTAAAAGCGCCTTATAAATAAACAATGAAATAGACAACTTATAATGTGTGAATTCGAAAAGCTTTAGTGGGTTAGTGAATTCTGTGTTTTCACAGTGACAGGCTTGATCTGCATGCCTCTGATTAAAAAAAGAACAAGGGGGCGGCGGGATAAGAAAAACCGAGTACCAAATAAAAATTTTGCATGAAAAGGAACCATCTCTAGGGTCAGCAGTGATTGTTAACTATGCTCAGCACTATTTTTTTCCTTCCTCAGAAAAAATATACATCATGAAGGCCGACACTGTTATTGTGGGGTCCATTTCAGAAGTGCCTAGTGGCAAGAACTGTGCTGCTAGAGGATGTGAAAGTAGTGTTGATGCCCAGGAAAACGTGGAAGAGGAACTGGCAATGCACTATCCAGAGCAGGAAACAGAGTCTTTTCGAGGGAATGATGTAACGGTTCCTGTGGAAGAAGAGGGAAAGGAATTTCATCACCCCACCACTGCCACTGAAAAGTGATAACCCGCTGAGAAGATGTGTGAAGCTACAGAAACATCCAGTGTGACACTAAGCCTGAATCTATGACAAGGGAGGTAAACACATAGTGCCTTAGATTACCTGAAAACTCAGGTAAAACACTGAAACACATTCAAACAAGGAGTGCTAGAACCTATTTTATCTAACAAATGAGAGGATCATCCAAACTGTTGGCCTTCATAGCTGACGTCAAATATTTCTCTTTCCCTCTGTCTCCCTGCATCGTGCTGGAAACAAATTTGAATCAAAGCTACAAAATTCAGAGCACATCTGGATGCCAACTCAAGTTTCACAACTTGCTTTCTCTGCATGAAGGAATGGATTGAAAACTATGTCTGATTACTTCTATTATCGTATGAAAATTCTGGCCAGAATTCTGAGTTAAGCTTGAGACTCAGCCATGTTTCATATGTTGTGTCTATTCCAGTATTATCAGTACTTCCAATTTTGTCATATATTTTGCAACATCTGGTATTTTTCTTAAGGCCTCAATTCTTGAATGAAAATAATGACAATTTCAGTTTTACCTAACACAAACAGAACTCTTAAGTTTGTGGACTTCGCATTTCTTGAGGAAATAGGATCAAAAGGTGCCACACAGGCTCAGAAAACAGAAGGTAAATAAAACTAGTTGAAGTCCACTGTACTTTAGGCCATTCTTTCTAATTCTTGAAGTCTGATTCATGTTTTTTGACTACTTCAAATCATCGGTAGGTGTACAAAATGGCATCTTCTGGTGGAAGCCAAACTGGCTGAAAATTTGGATATTGGATGAACTATGGGTTTAGCCCAGCGTGGAGTCTGTAAAAAGGGTAAAGAAGAAAATAAACTAGTTTTCTACAAAAAGGAAGGACTGAAAAACAGGCACAGCAGTTATTTCCTACAACACTGTTAATCTTTGCTTGTTTAGAATTGCTCATAATCATCAGGCTGATACTGATTTGCATATCTAGTCTTTAAAAAAAAATCCGTTTTGTGGTCAACTGGCTTGCATTATGCTGTTTCTCAATCTCTCACACTGCTTGTTTGATAACTGTAAGTGTAATAGTGCTGACTATATTTTTGCACAGGACAATGGAAAATTAACAAGATGACAAAGTGTGCCTTAACAGTCAAAAAAAGGAACCACAAAACCAATTACTTGCTTTGTAGTTTTACCCTGGACAGAGTACTGCAATAACAGCTGTGCAACTTCAGCATCTTTTGTCTTAGAACACACAAAAGGAACATAAGGTCATAAAAAACACCTTGGGCCAGACGAGTAGTACAAGCCCAACATTTTATCTCCGAGAGCCGCAGTAAGAGATGTTATTTAGGAAGAGCACATAAGCCTGGTTAATATCTGCTGCTTGCATTCCTCATAGTTCTGCAACATCAGCTGTAATTGGATTAAGGATGTTAAAAGAGTTTGTCCTAGCCTTTAGCGTTCATTCATACTGCCATTAATTTTTCTTCTTTCTTTTGAATTTCCTGGTACAGTCTGCCTCCATAAGCACCTGTGGCAACAGATTACAGGTAGTTACTTTTCACTGTGTAAAGAAGTACTTTTACCACTTTTAAACTGACCTCTTACTTATCTCAGTGAGTGCCACTGGTTCCTGTATTACAGCATGTAGTGCAATACTGAGTTGCTTTTATGATTCTTGATTGTATCCTCCTCAGCCTCCAAGCTGAGTTCCCATCTTTTTACGTTTCTCATGTAAGTTAGATGCTCCACTGCCTTGGTCATTTTAGTTGTCCTCTTCCACATCTTCTCTAACTTCACTACATTCTTCTGGACATCTGGAGGCTAGAATCATGCACTGCACTGAAGAAGAGGGGTGGGCCAAGATTTTAAAGAGCGGCAAAATGATACTCTATATTTGTTCTCAATACCTCTCCAGAATATGCCCACCATTTTATTTGCTTTTTTTTGGCTGCCCCTGCACACTAAGCAGACGATTTCAGAGAACCATCAAGAATGACTCCAAGATCACTTTTCTGAGCAACAGCTGCTAGATGCGAATTCAGCACCATGTACGCGTGGTTTAGATTATTTTTCCCTAAATGTATTGCCTTGTGTTTATCTATGTAGAAGCTCATTTGCCTCCTTTTTATGAGCTCCTTCTGGCTTTACTTGCCTCTATATGTCATGTAAGTACCTGGAGAAGTTTAGTATTACTTTCATTGTGTGGGTGCTCTTTTCTCCAGATCATTGATGAAGATATTGAATAGAACTGGCCCCACCAATCCTCCCTGCTAACTGTTCTCTGTCCTGAAAAATTACCATTATGTTGTGCTCTTTCCTTCCTGCTTTTAAACAGCCATAACTTTTGTATCCTGTAAACTTTTATCAAATCCATAAACTTACCTTTCCTCCAATCCTGTGACAACTTTGTTTTTCCACCACCTTAGGTGTGGAACCTCATCAAAGGCTTTTTGAAAATCTCCATGTAGTAGATCCACTGGATCTTGTTTATCCATTAAGCCTCGCAATATATGGGAAGCTTTTTACTCCAGATTTTGTGATTGAAGAAATACATGAAGAGAAATTCATACTTTTCTGGAACCGCAGCCCCAGAGATGAAGTGGGAGAATCTCAGCATTATGGGATCTAGTCACTGGCTTTCATCAATGGATAATCTACCTGTAGTATATTTGAAAACTGGTTGTCATTTCAAGTGTTGTAAGTTCCAGTATTTACTTCTTGAATTCTACTCTTCTCTGCAAGTCCAGGACATTTATTTTAATAATTTCTAAAAACAACTGCTGCCACTGTATATTTTAGTTCGTCTATTGATTCTTGCAAGAGGGGCAATTAGTGAATCCTTTCTGTGTACGTCTGTGTTTGTTCTTGTTTTGTTTCATTCAGAAGATATGCTGCTCCTAATGCTCGCATTGAAATTTCTTTTGGCTGTCAGTATCGCCATGTCAGTGGCAGTTACGTGGGATGAAGAAGGAAACAGAACGAACATTTTTTTGTTTAAGTGCTTGTTGTGCAACAGAAGGTCAAGTCACCAAGTATTGACATAAAACAGCAATGCAAGGAAGAAGAAAAAACTGTGTAGGACAAATACTGGTCACCCTTTCCTCACTTCCAGTCAGCTTAGTTCATTGTTTTCCAGTGCATGCGCTTCATTCTAGAAAAATACAGGAACTTGTATTTCATTTTAGAGAACGCCAATTTGTGTATCCACAAATTGTGAATAACCATGGTCACCCAGCTGTGATTGTTAAAGGATGTTCTGTAATGACAGCTAATTGTATATTTCAGCTCTGTATATAAATTAATCTTTTTTACTGGAACACCTTTCTAGATGAATCATGTGCATTGCAACCTGCTAGATGTATTATAGTTGGTTAGTTTAATAATGCTGGTAATCTTTGAATTAAAAATTGCATGGGTTTTAGACCATAGCCACACTTTTCTTGCCTGGTACGTAAATGTTTCCTTGTTGGTAATTTCAGTACATGGATCAGTTGCAGAAAGAATGTTTTTGCAAGAGAGCCTTTCAAAGCTTACGAAGCTATTAGTCGGCTGGAGTTTTTTCTCAAGAGCAGAGCAGGTCTGAATTCACATTCAGGTCTCTCTATACCATCCCGGCAGCATGTACGAGACACGAGTGAACGTGGCGTGGCGGAACGGTGGGTAGCGCAGCATGCCAGAACGCCACAAAAGGCAAGTTCACGCTTTGGGGCTAACGGAGCATAACCACGACTAGAGAGACCCTTTACACCTCGGAGAGTCCCTTCTAAGATACCTGCAGTAACTTCCGTGTCCGGCCAGCAGCCAACACCGTTAATCCAGCCTGGGCAACCGTGGCGAGGCGGACCACTACGGCAGCTCGGCGCTGCCGCCCGCCCCGGGGCGGTGCCCCCCCCTCCCCGCCTCGCCCTCCCGGGGCCCGGGCGGCCGCCAGCTCCGCTCCGCTCCGCCCCGCGCCCTCACTCGGCGGCGGGATGGGGCCGCGCTGGGCGCTCCTCGCCGCGCTCCTCCACGCCGCGGGCGGCCGGGTGAGTGCGGGGAGCCTGTTACGGGGCCGGGGGGAGGCGGGAGGCCCGCCCGTCCGCCGCTCTGCGGTACCGAGCGGCCTTTATCGCTGTAGTGGTTGCAGGGCGGGAGTGCCCCTGGTGTCGTGCAAGGTGTAAGGCAAGTGGGCATCGTTCTGCTGTCACGCTTGCAAGTCCCCTGAGTTACCGGTCTCCCTCTGCTTCTACTGAACTCGGTGCGAGCTCTACAGGGGCCTCAAGTCCCACTTCTAGACTAATTCAAAGCTCGTCCTGCTCCCTTTGGCTATGTCGTTGTTATTTCCTGGCTTCTCAAAGCAATGACTAATCGTTTTTCCTGGATTTTCATTGGAAATGTGTTGATTTTTCATGCTTGTTTGCATATTTGCAGAAACTGTCAAGGTCCTGGCAAGTGCAGAGTGTAAATCTGTATGTATTTTACACCGTTGTTTAAACAGGAAGTGCTTGTTGTGCTCTGCTGGATCCCTGAAACTATTCCCTATTTACATAGAAAAGCCCTTTAATTTACATCTAAGACCTGATGTGGTGCAGCTGTGACTGTTCTCTTTTATATCCAGCTGTACCACTATTTGCCAATGAATGCTTTTAACTGTTTAAACTAAAGAGCTTGATGGGGTCTTTTTGACTTTGTGTGTATGCTATACTGGTATATTGATAGCACTTTTCTACCTGATTTTAAAGTGTCCTGAATTGTGACGATAAATACGGAAATGCTGCTGAGATGTCCAGGTCATTGCTTTTTCATGGGATGTGGATATTGTTTACATGTTTATTTAATCATATTAATTTAGCCTTGATAAGATAAAGGTTCAGTGAAACCACATGAGGATGTCAGAGTGTATACTGAACCTGGAATTACATAATGGTCTTTTGAGGAGTACCAGGTGCTATACTGGGTTGATAATTAATTATTGAAATTAATTCTTTTAACTTCTTCTCACTCATTTTGAATTCAGCCCTGGTTTATAAGGTGATACTATTTTGAACCTGATTTACTGAACACCTTGGAGCGGATAGGGTAGAGCAGATAAAGAAGGGAGAGTCTCAGGATTCTGGCAGACCTTACCACCAAAATTTAAGTGTAAAGTTTTGTCATGCTTCTTGCTGAACAAAGGGTTTTGATTTGAAAGGAATTAACTCTCCTCTCACCCTAAATATAATGATGGAAATCATGAAGGAAACTTTCAGCATCACTTTTTGCATTGTGACAAACCAAAGAAAAGACCATATATAAATTAGAAAAACAAAACTAGTAGCTTCAGAAATACCGCATCTGCCACAGAGCTGGAAAAAACCTGCCTCATATCAATTTTTAAAAGTGATCAGTTAAAGAAAACTTACTTGATTTTTTGAGGGAGAGAAACTGACAAAGCAATAGCTCTTGAGTGACGCTATTTCTTGGGTTTTTTCTCATTCAGGTGAAATTACCTGAAAGCTTCTAGCCGCAGTCCCAGTGTTACTTACAGGAATCGAACATAATTTTTGCCATTTTGAACAACTTAGTCACTAGATATTTTTAATAGAAACTTTCTCAATAGCCTCAAAACTAAATAACTGTCCTTTGCAAAGCAGTGCAGTGTGCTCTGCAGTTTAGTTGCTGATGCGTGCAGAGAAGGTCATCCTCTGGATGCTCCTGAGCGGTTGTAGGGGAATGCTGCTGGTACATGGAAGGTGTGTTGATAACCATGCACATACTCTGAACTGCAAAAGGATGAGCATAAGGGAAATCTTTTGGAAAAATCCAGAAATAAAACTGAGCAGACTGCTCAGATGTCCATGCTTTTTTTATGGTCAGAGCTAGGAGGGCTGTGGGTGACCTGCAGCTTTGTTGTTGTACATATCCACACTTGTGGTTGTTGCATCAAAGTTCATGATGACAGTCTTAACAGAGCATTGCAAAAGTCATCTGTGATACAAGCAACATCATCCCAGGAAAATAATTTGTTTCAAAATATTAGAGAAATGCCAGTTCTGGCATTTGGCCTAGATAGAAGACAGTTATACCCTCTGGCAGTGTGTTTGGCTGGTATACCTGGGGCATCTTAGGGAGGTTCTTCATCTACCATCTTTACACTTAGGGCTCACATAACTTCTCATTTCCTGCTCTGTTCTCAATGTTAGGTATCACCCTGTCTCCCTTAGATGCATCTTCTAGGATGTCTGCACGTAAGGTCAAACCTAATGTGGCCAATCCTGACTTGCCGATCCTTTCTTGGGATCTTGCTCATCACCTGCCCTTCTCTGACAGGTGGTGAGGATACAACCTGTCCTCCTGCCTCTCAGGCCTGCAATCTGTTATTCCTCTTGCTTTCACGCCTTGTTTGCCTGAGTATCTTTGATTTCCACAGGGACACTGTAGATTTTAAGACCTGTCAGCTTTGACAGTGCCTGTTACTGTAAGTGTCAGATCTTGATTTAGTGGATAATATCTTTTATTAGGACAACCTTTGGGAAAACAGACCAATTTTCGGATACATAAGCCTGAAGTTTTGAAACAGAAGAGCTGGTATTCCTGAAAATGTGTATGTTTTTCCAAATACAGATTCACATAATGGACCCGTAATTTTAGATATTTGCAGGAAAGCAGCTTTAAAGAAGCTTTATGGTTTGAGTATAGTTGGTGCAGCCTGATACAACTCTAGCTGATTTTGGCGAGACTTGCTGTTATCTGATAACTAATCTTCAACAGAATTATTTTTGTAAATTACCAGTTTAAATATTTTAAACAGAATTCTGTTTTTTCCTGTCTTCAGCAGGTTTGGTAGCTCAGCAAACGATATTTTTTAACTTCAAGTCCTTTCCGTAGCAACAGATTTTTACATCAGAGTCCTTGGTGACTTCATTGTGGTTTCATATGCGTAAAGAACATTACACGCCAGACGTAGTTCCTGTTCAGACTCCTTTGTTTGACAGCTTAAGTTTGAAGAAGGCAACTGTGTGAAAAAGAGACCAATAAAAATGTAGACATGTGAGTTAGGATTGAAATATATGCTTAAATATCTTTGTTTAAATGGCCTCCTTGAGTGAAAATGAATGTTATGTGAATGGATTAATATATATATTCATCCATTATATTAACGTATTTTATTTCTATTATTGAAGATACTTAAATTTAATTACATATAAAGTCCAAGAATATAGGAACAAGCTGTAAGGCAGGAATTGAAGGAAATTAGGTTCAGTATAATTAATATTCAGCACTTAGGGAATGCATTACATTGTGACATGCTGTGAGTAGTTGAGACCTGGACTTCCTCGCCAATAGGTAGAGCCAGGTTGGTGCATTGGATCAAGCCCTTCTAATTTGACAGAAGTCTGTATCCAAATCTTGTTCAGTAGTTCATGACTCGGGCTCAGCTCTGGTACAGACATGAGGGTCTCAGTTGTGGCTGGCGTCTGTATGACCGTGTGGGAGGGGACAGCCTGCAGGCCCTTTCCCTTCCCTTGTGCTGCTCCACACAGCACAGATAACAGCTGCAGGCCTGAAAAATCATGAGATACAGGCACGTTCTCTGCTAGTTTTGTCTTCCAGTGGGTAGGGTATTGGGAATCTTGGAAACAATTGTGCTTGTGCATACGTATTTAGAAGAGTCTGTACTAACCTCTCAATTGGTATAGAGACTGCTGTTAGCCCACTCCTCTCCAGTGACAAATTAGGTAACCTATCTACTGGATGTCTGTAGTGCAGATGGGAAAATTATTCGAACGGTGCGGAGACTCTGGAGAGAGAGTCTTGAGTCATTGACTTTTTGCATCTTAGTTATTGCTTAATACACAGGCATTGCAAAAATCTCCCTGGTGAGTTGGGTAGTCAAAGGCAAGCATGGTTTACCCATTTCTGTGCCAGAATATATTGCTTAATTTGATGTGCATAGAGCTAGACTAAATTTAATGTTTAATAATGTTTGTGCCTCTGCTGCTAGATAGATGAGGCATTTTACTTCTACTTGTACCTGTCACATTAAAAGAAGTCTTCCAAAGTCTTCATTTTGTCTGTATAAATATCTTAAAAGTCTGCTGCCATTAGACGCTACTAACTAATCTGAGAAGTTCTAAGGCTATAATGCAAAAGATGCAACATCAGGTTAATTTTCCTTCACACAATCTGCTTATAGAAAATTGAATCACAGTAAAAGCAGAAGACAAAATAAGGACTTGGGAGAGATACAAACAGTAACAAATACAAAGATTGTGGAATAGAATCTGACCCCTACTCATCAGTCTTTCAGCCCAAAGTAGCCAATGGATCTGGATGCCAGGTACAAATATTGTGGTGCCCAGCTTGGACCTTAAAATTGGCGAGATGGCTAGAAAAAGTGTGGTTTTCTTGTAGCCAAGAAATCCAGGAGTTTTATACCTAGTAAGAGGCCTACACTTCCTACAAAGTAGCAGATTTGACTGCTGGCCTTGACAGCTTTGATTAAGCTAGTTTACATTGGAAGTAACTACTAGAATTAATGGCATCCTTCCAGTGCAAACAAAGCTGAGCTCATGTGTGTATATAAATTGTACTTAAGCGAGTTACAAGTCCCTTTTAGTTTCCCATAATGTTCTTTGAGGACAGCTGGCAAGAAATTGTCAACTGTATGTCATTGAGAGCCACAGCTCATCAGATAAAATTTCAGGGAGATTGTATCAGACAGTAGAGATATCCTTTCAAGCACAACTTAAAAGACACAGATGTGAACCCATCAACCAAGAGGTTTTCCTGTGTCTTTAACTTGCAGGGCAGTATTTACAACAGACAATACAGAGGATGAGATAAGAACATTTTTTGCCAGGAAGCCTCACCAGCAGGATAATTTGTGATGCTGTTTATTATATTTGCTCCTTTTTTTTTTCCTGTGTCTGCTCTTGCAGTGAAGTTTTATGTTTTAAAAAGACTCAAGTGCTTGTTTTAATGAAGTTGATCATAGTGACTACAAAAATGTGATGACAACACTCGGATCTTTCTTCTTTTAATAAACAAGAAGGTAACTTAAATGACTTTTGATGAGAGCAGAGCCCTTTTCTTCTCCTTTATCAGATTTTAGTGTCAGCTCACATTTGCAAATGGTGTGGTTTATTGTGGCCCATCCTATGAGGGTATAATACCAAGTGAACCTAGAAGGTATTGAAAAGCCTTGTTTTTATTTTTTAATTATTATGGTTATTATTCTTATTAATAATGATGAAACTGATAATGTTGAAGCCAGCCTCCTTGTTTTGCTTTAAAGTCTTCAATCCTTGTGCAAGCACCCTTTAAATAAGCCTTCTTAACTGGAAAGCAAAAATGGAGGCCAAAGTAGGTTTTGGAGATATTTGAGGCTGCAGCATGGTTCCTGCAAAACTGGCTTTCTTCTCATCAAAAGACAAAGAGCAGCATTTGAAAAATGCAGCTTGTGCTCAGCAGCTGTTTCTTACTTCACCTACTCTAGTGTTTAAGATGGAGAATCTTTTTTTTTTTTCCTTTGGTCATCCTTCCCCACCCCATCACAGTTTCTAGCCTGTTAAAAGCATCTTTACAAGTTTGTTCTTCAGTTTGCAACTTGACTGTTTCTCATTGATCTGGCTGTGAGAGAATGGGAATGGTATTGGTGAAACCCATCCTCAGTCTCCCTGGTTTTGAATCTTTAACTCAATGCTTTCCTTTTTTCTTTTCTGCAATGAATACTGAAACTTAAGAAGGCCTTTCTCTGCCTTCACATTCTCAGGAAAGGTTCTTTTTGACACTGACCGTTGAGTAGATGGGTGAAATGCTGTTTCTGCTATACAGCTAGATAAGAGGTAAATATTTCATAAGCTGTATGAGAAAACATTGGGTTCCCTTTAAGCAATTGTTGAGAATGGGAAGTTTTAGTCTACTTTGTCAGTAATATGAAGACACAATAGATAATCAACATGTTTTTTCAGTAAGAAGGAAGGATGTTTTCATTACCGGCCTCCAAAGAGTTTGTTCCTGTTTTGATTTCTCTTTTTAATAATACTTTTAAAGTACTTCTCTAAATATGTGTAGATTATACATGGAGCAATCTCTTCAGACTGCAGAAAACTAAGCAGTGTCACATACTTTTTGAACAGCATCTTTCTGATCTAGCAGGAAACTCCTACGCTTGTACTACCTAACATTAGCCTTTTTCTTTTGAGTGAGTATATTTTTCCCTTTGAAAACAGACGGCAGGTCCTCAAATATTTTGACACTTGTTCATTGAAGTCATTGAGCTGTGCTAACTGGTGTGAGTTGAAAATTAGGTGCACTGTATTTCGTTACTTTCTTATGCATTTGACCTGCCATATGAGGTAGGTTTTTTTATTTTCATTTAAGTCTTGTAGACAGTTGCTCCTTTTCAGAAGCAGCAGTGCAGTTTTTGGAGACATCATTTTCAAAACGTCAAGGCCTTTCTCATTCAGAAAGGAATCACAAAGTATCTGGAATGATAAAAGCCTTTTTTCCTTTACTTTGGTGAAACAGTTCTAATGGTACAGGTTCTTTGACTGATGGGATGGGTTATCTTAGCTGGATATTGCATGGGTGTAAGCGAGGACGAAATGAACGTAAGCGCAATAGAGAATTGAGCTTAGTGTCCTATGTCCTTTGCACCCACTGAAGGAAACAGAAAGATTCCTTCAAGCATTGCAGTGGTGCTAGACCCACAGCTCCCTTTTCCACCAGCTCGAGAGGCCCGAAGGAATTAATAAGTAGCAAAGTCAATCTTTTTGTTTTCAAATAGGGCTCTAAATGTGTATAGGAAGTTGACCTACTGAGTGAGAAGGTATCATTTTTAACATAGCCACTTTGCAGAAGATGCTTCTCCCCACAAACCAACAGTAAGAATTCAGGTTTCACTGGCGTTTTGTTAAAGGTTGTTTGAATCATGGCAACTGAGAACAGGTACTTAGCCCTTTGGTTTGGGGGGTGCAGTAGTGACCAGGTGTGATGCTAATCCCATAGTTCCATTGCATTCTTTTGAACATAAAACCTGGAGAAGTCACTTTGTTCATTGTGACAGATCTTTGAAAAACAGAGTAACCTCTAAATGGTCTCAAGTAGCTTATAAGATGTGCATTCTCCTTCAACTTTTTGGCATCTGCTGCTTTCTGTTTCATCAGGCCTACATCAGTGCCTTGGGAAGGAAGATGGTTATAATTGCACTGATCTTTAAGTCTTTGTCTCTTTTGAATGTCTACTTTAGGGTCAGAATGGACTTGTGACTCATGATTTCCCATTAATTTCTCCTAGGAATATTCATTGCCTTATACACCACAGTTTGCACAATGCAAAGATCCCAGCACTGAATTCTATGAAGAAGGACTTAATAAATGTTGCAGCCAGTGCCCTCCAGGTAGGTTGTAATTCAAACTATTGTTTTACGCAGCCAAATTCAGTCAATTTTCAGATGAGTGTAGTACATTTTGTTTATTTATACATCTGAAGAGCATTGCATTTTTGCTGTTGTAATGCACTCTAGCTGGAAGACAATAAAATGCTGTCACTGGGTGGGCAGCTACAGATTCTGTCCTGTGACTTAGTGCATGTTTGCTTCTGCACAAATCCTGTTTTTAAAACAAGAATAAAGCAAGATGTCATTAGCAACATTTAAATGATATAATGACAAGACTGTAAAAATATCTGCAAAAAAGACACATTGTTCATCAGAATTGGAATTCTCTTACAAGGTTAACCTGGCTGGGGCTTATCAGGAGGTAGGCTGATGAGCTCTTGTAAGCACAGTTTTCTGCTGAGCTCTTGTAAGCACAGCTTTGCGTGGTGTTTAAAATATTAAAGTATTTTTAAGTGAACATTGAGCGGGGAGCAACAGCTCACTAAGGGAATTATAAAAATTAGAGAATACATGTCAGACCCAGCCCACTAATAACAAATATATTGTAAAACAGGGCATGAGGTAGAGCTTAGTTTCTGTACTTTGATAATATCACTTATATAAGGGGCTTTCCATTGGACAGGTTGATCTATAATTGCTCATTAAGGGAGTTTTGTTGTCTTTTACTGTAAATCAGACACTGCAGACCACTATCAGAGACTGAGTACAAGACCACAGAAACTGTCTGCTTTGAGTTGTCATGTCTTACACTCCAGTGATAATTATTAGTGATCTTTTGCTAGCAAAAATTGTCGACTGCAGAAAGGTGGGTGTGTGGGTTTGGTTTTTGGGGGGAGGTAGTAGTGCCATTTGGATATTTTAATAATAGAGTTTTTTTAACAAGTTGTCATTATATTATTATATTAACCCAGCAAAAAACTGCCTTTTTTTCTCATTACATGCTGAGCAAACAAAATCTGTCTCCAAAAATGCTGAGTTGCAGTCAGAGACATCCGGAAGTTTAAGCAGGAAATCAGTATATGCTGAAGCAGCCACAGTTGATTGAATTAACCGAAAATGTCTAGGTAGATCTGTCAAACTTCCTTTGTTAAAAACACAACGAATGAAAGATGATAATTCATACGTAAAACCTTTTTCTGTTGTGGTATGTACTGTTCAGTCTATTTCTCCTTAATTTTAATTTTTCAGAATAACAAACTGGACAAGTTGTAGGAAGTATAAAATCTTTATTTTTCTTATGATGAATTTGAATTTTTTTACTATAATTTCTCAAAAATTGAAGCCTAAATCATTAGCAGGATGTGGGAGGCAGAATTTTAAGCTTCAAGTAAGTACATGATAAACCAAAGTCTTTGGGAAGAATTCCTATGGCTCACGTCCAGGGCCCCTTCTTTCGGAGAACAAAGATCCTCCAAGCAGCTCCAAAGACTTTCTCAGTGTTACTCCTGCTTTCTGAGTATATTTTCCAGGATATTTCTGTACAGGATATGAGACATTGACTTTAATCATCACCTTCCTTTCAAGCAAGGGGGAAATGGCAACTGAGGTGTTTTCCTTTCTCCAAAATGGATATGTTGGAGCTCATATTTACTTATTTCCACCACTGCACTGAACCCTGTTGTTGGTGAGAAGCATTGGAGAAACTACCTTTGATAGCTTTTGATTTTGTCTGGAATGCCAGTAGCTTTAGAAACTTGTTGGTTTGATCTGTTAGGGCTGGCTGAAGACGTGAAAGAAAAAGGGTGAGCTCATGTCCCTTCCGTAGTGACAAGCAGTGAAGTTCTAATTCAGGTCTGTTTGTGATAATACCTTATTATGCCTTCTTCACTTGGTGCCTGTAACGGTAGTAAGGGCCTCACCCAGACACGTCATTCTAGCACATGCCTGACGTATGGCCTGAAACACCATCCTGTGTTTCACCACAAAACAGAGCTTCTATGAGGGTAAAAAGTTTGGTTTATATGCTGTGGTAGCTGCATCTAAGTATATGCTGAGGGGTTTTGTTCAGGATTGAGGCTGCCTTGTTTTGAACATAGCTGGAATTCACTGAACTGAATGTAGGAATAGGGGTCAAACATGAATAATGTAAAAGAAATCAGAGTTTCTCTGTATATACTCGCAGTCCTCCTTTAAATCAATACTTACTTGGTATATGTTACCAACCTGATAGCGGCAATGAAGGGAAGGTGTTTCTACAGCGAAGAATGAAACTTACCTTAAACAATTCCTGGTGTTCTTTTCCAATGAGATGTTTTCTCTGTTTTGTTTTGTTTGGGTTTTGTTTTTTTGTTTTTAATAGGTCAATATAAGGCAGAGAGCTGCAGTCCCACTGCGGACACAAAGTGCAGTCCCTGTAGACCTAACACATATACAGCAATCTGGAATCGGTCTCCTCAGTGCTTTGCCTGCTCACCACCCTGCAGGAAAGGTAGGCTTGAATTATTACAGAGGCCTTTGTGAGTTTAACAGTGTGCTCAAAGAGTACGCTTGGTTTAACCTAGTCTTTTCTCCTAAGAAAACCAGGAGGTTTTGTCTATCACTTGTATAGTCCCATTCTTATGCTTTTGGTCCTCACAAGATTTGGGTAGAGGAATCAGGGAAAAGTCTTGCGGGGGGCCCTGCCCCTTTTTCTCCCTAAGTCCTAAAAATGTGACACCAATCTTTTATTCTTGGAAACTAAGGGACTGCATCACTACAATAGATCCAAATGTCATCGGTAGAATAACTTCCTGCTTATACTCTCCAGCCAAGGGAGCTTAAGACCTGATTTACATAGGGTTAAATGGATAAATTACATTTCCAGCATCCAGTCATTTCTCAGTTTGTCTGCTGAACTGACAACAGCAAACACCAGTTGTGATATTCTTATATTATTTTTATTTCTTTTGCAAAGCAGCATAGTCAGTGAGAGCACGCTGGTTCAGTCTGTTAAAGCAGCTTAACAGTTTGTAAGGTAGTACATTGGACCAACATCTGTACGTTGGTCTAATAGATCATGTGCATTAACAAATTCAGTCATACTGTTGCCCATCACTTCTAATGGAAACTGGTGTAGAAAATTATCTACTTGACTCACTGGCAAGTAAGTTTTAAGGATACAGTCTAAGTTGTTCAAAGGACCTTTGATCTCATCTAAATAGATAATCCTACAAAGCTGGTTAATTACAGTATGAAAATGTTTGTAATAAGGTCTCCAGTCACTTTAAATACAGTTGCATGATCTGCATAGACTACAAATCTTAGTATGGCCCCCAGGTACCGCAGTGGTGAACACAGGTAACACAAATGTGCATATTTATGGTTACGATACACTATAATGCAACTGCAGGTACAGAGTTTCAAGTGTGCATTCTACAAATGCAAATTTCTGCTTTCCTAGAGACAGAGAGGAAACTCTTCCGAAAATGTAGATGTTGGGGCATATAATGTATTTGTTTTATGATGGTATACTAGCCAGAAGCTGCAAAATTGTCTTCAGTTTGTGGTATGTGAACATCACCTCATATTCAGCTGAAACATTGCGGGCTATGATTTTAAATGTTGCTAATGACATCTTGCTTTATTCTTGTTTTAAAAACAGGATTTGTGCAGAATCAAACATGCACTACGTCACAGGACAGAATCTGTAGCTGCCCACCTAATGAGTACTGCATTTCAAAAATATATGACTCCTGCAAAATATGTAAAGTGCATAAAAAATGTGGAAAAGGTTACCGAGTTTCCAGAAGAGGTAATTTAATTCTGAACACTCTACACACAAAATAGTTTTACTGTATGAAGAGGGTTATTTTTTGCATTAATAGTCCATAAATATTTCTGAATCTGCCTCCAACTCAGTAAATTACAGGAATATAGTCCTTTAATTCCCTACAGTTAAGCATTCGTTTTAGTGCAAGCATTATCTTAGCAAGTAGGCAGTAACTACAGCAACAGTATTCTCAAGAGGCATAACCAAAGGGACAACATGTTGCATTATTTTACTACCATATATCAGAAAGTTCCCCAATCCAACTTAATCTTCCTTTGTTTTGCTCTACTGTGTGATTTATTCTATACAAGTGACTCAGATTTGAGACTACTTAATTCCTCCTTACATCCTTGAAACAGGGCTTCAGGTTGAATTTTGGTTACAGTAAATAATGATGACTCTATGCTGTTCTGCAGAATTAATCTGTTTTTATTAGATGATGAAATTCACCACTCTGATAATGTAGCTGTCTCAAGATGATAAATAATATTCAAAGAGGTGGAACACTGAGTATTTTTAAGAAATTAAGAATCATTTGAAAATATACAGAACTCCAACAGAATGGAATAGGGGGTCAATCTGTCAGGGACTAGTGAAAAAGCTCAACTTTGTCTGCAGTACCACATTTTAACCTTTTTGTGGATTTTTACAGTCTTTGAGAAAGATGGACTATCAAGGGCACCAAACTAACAGCCGATTAATCTTCTGATTTGTGTTCGGGTTGGGTGTTTCAAATTAATCTCTTATATGACAGTTAAAGACTGTATTTTGTGTACTGCCTCTGTATCACTTCTAGGATCTGTACTGCAGACCTTGTATTCATTCTTGTTTCTCACTAGATGACTAACTGGAGTTTTTCTATTTGTTTAAAGGGACAGATAGCACAGATACAGAATGTAAACCTTGTCCTCCTGGCACTTTTTCACATGAGGAATCTTACGATACCAGCTGTATACCACATACGGTGTAAGCCAGTGTTTCTGTCCAATAGCAACCTTAACTGTGCACAGGGTTGCTTTCTTTCCTAACTTCTCTTTTTGTTTCTTGCAGTTGTAAATCAGTGGCTATTCCAGGAAACAGAATGAATGACACTGTTTGCAGTGACTCAGGAACAGCAGTTGCCACAGTTCTACCTCACACTATTTTGAACCTGCTCCTGACCCAAAGCTCGGCTTCCAGCAAACCTGAAATAATAACTCGACCTGTCATTTTAAACTCTGTACCTGAAATGTCTCACATAATCGGTGAGCTACTAACTCATTTAAAGTCATTTTTGTCTGGCTAGGAAGCAAGTTTTTATTTAGTTCTCAGTTTCTTTCCAAGACCTGTACCCAAACAGAACCTCAGAAGACCTGAATTAATTCAGTATGACAATGTTTGTAGTGAGTTGTATAATATTTACCTATGTATCTGCGCTACCCTAGTGCATTCTACAGTCCTTGTAATTCTGGAAAGATTTCTAAAAAGTCCCAAACTAGATTATACAGGGCATTTCCTGAGAATTGCTACTATGAAGGAGCTGGGAGAAGGTTGTATCTTAGATTCTGGACTAGGCAAACTTGACTTCTTCATAAACCTCCTGGTGAGAGGTCTTTGGAGACTTCTGGCAGCCTTTCCTGCGATGGGAAGTCCTTATAGCATGCAGAAGTGCACATGTATTCTCTCCTGTTCACAACCTATCCAGAAGGCATATACGTATAGGAGCATTCTGGGCTGTCTGGCCTTGTATTTAACACACTGTTGCTAGCCTAAAGAGGTCTTTTGTGACTGAGGCCAAAAGTCTGTCCTCACTTTTCAGGACAGGAAAATTCAATTTTATGAAGAGTTGGAGACTGAAATGAGACCTTGGTATCTGACAATAGAGGCATCAAATGTGAATGTCAGACACACCTGATACTTGTAAATTTAGTTTTTGTAGCCATGGACAGAAACTACAAAACTACCTCTTTCTAATTATGTTCTTTGTCAGATCACCCTGCTAAATAATTTATCTTTTTTATTTATTTTCAGGATCAGTAGCAGGTCCATTGTTATTGGTCCTGATAATCAGTATTTTGGGGTATTGTTTAGTCTCCAAAAAAAAAGGTAAGATTCATGAAGTGAAAACAAGCAGATATGTAAATATTGGGAAAAGTGTCATCTCATTTCCTTCCAAGTTGAGCCTAGTGGTTGACTGATGTTAGTGTCTCAGAAGATGCTAGCTCTCTTTGAAGCTTTTCTTGTGGCTGGACATGGATGAAATATCACTAATGTGGAGGTTCTTTGGTGTCTAATAATGCATGAGTTAATTTACGTTTTTTTCAAGGGGACAAGGAGATGATTTACAGGTTTCTGCCTCACTAGCCGGCAACCTATAGCTTCTTGAAACCCTGAGGAGCTTTTGACACCATTCCTCTGTTACATTGGGGTGAAATTGGCAAAAAGGTTCAAAGGTCAATAGAAGAGAGACTAAGAGAAAACTCATGCAGATAAGCTTGATCACATAAGCTTTGCGGCTACGGAAAAATAGAATTAAAAAAATACTCCAGGAATTCCGTATATGTTTAGAGTAAAAATATTGTTATTAAATCACATGGGATGAAATTAATCTCAATACAGGGGTAGAGTGAGGCAAATGTCCCATTCAAATCTCTCTTGTTCCTCAGATTTTAGATAATTGTCTAAACATACAACATCCTAGTGCAGTTGGACAACTGTACAACAGTTGTGCTCCTTCTGGAGCTTGTTAAATATTTTGTACTTCATCATTTAAATATTAGACATTATAAAATGTTATCATTAAACAGTCACGACCATAGTTTATTGTCATCCATACCTTTTCTCACTGACACTATATTAGAAAAATTATTAATTCATGCAGAGGGTCCTCTTTGCTTGCTGGCTAAATTTGTCACCTTACAAAATTAATATACTGTAGCTTTCAACTAATGTAGTATTAGGTGTAGGTGTAATAAATGTACATTTCGAGTTTATTCCAGGAGCAGAGGATATCACTCAGACAAGTTAAGAGAGCAGCTTTTGCCATTGAAACAAATTTGGGTGCTAATGAACTGTCTTTCCTCACTTGCAGCCCTTGTATACTCTCCAACAAGAACAGAAGCAGATTCGGTGAGTGTCACTCCTTCCTTTCTATCTTTTCCATTTCTTTAAAAGTTATATAGAAATCATGCAGTCTTATCTAATTACAAGTAGCAGAAAACTGCACAGCAGAAAGACAACTGGAGTGAGAATAGGATGGTTTGGTCCCCAAGCTAGATGGCAAGATGTACCTTACATAACCCACATAATGTACCACCCTCGCTTTATGTTAGGCTGTATTAGCAATAAAACAGAGGTGTGGTTCAGAAGACCAGATTTTTGAGCCGTTGTTCCCTAGGTAATCAGTGAAGTACTGTAGGTGCCTTCAGGAGACAGGTTCATTTTGTTGAATGGCTAATGAACTGGTATGAATTTTACTTACTATGCAATCACTACACAAATGGCAAATATCTGTGGTTTCTTTAGCTGCCTAAGTACTGACCAGTTCTTTTTTAGTGTTTTCTAGAAAGACTAATGTTTTGCATTTCTCTGCAAATCTTCCAGCCTTTTTCCCCTACAGAAAAGCAGTGTGACAAAAAAGTAAGAAATACAGGATCGCAAAACTCCAGCAGTTCTGAACAGGAGGAACAGCATCTCTTGGAAACTTCTGAGTCCAGCAGTAGCTCCCTGAATAATCCAACTGGATCTGCAAGAGTCAGTGTGAGAAGTAACAAAAACAATGAAAAGAAAGAAACAGAAGGATTTCAGCAGCAACATTCAGCTGTAGAAGGTTGTAAGCTTTACAGCGGAGACAGACACAACTCTGCGAGTTCAGGTAAGAATGTATCAGAATGATCCAGAACCTCTTGGATTTTGATTATCAATTATGAGTCTTTTTAGAAGAAGTTTAGGTGGCAGGGTAAAAGATCAGACTCTTGTTCAGCAGAGAGAGTATTTAGTAACTTTTGAAAAGAAAAAGCGATTGTGTTAAGTTGTCAGCCTGAGACAGTAAAGAGTGTCCTCAATGGAGAAAGAGTTATTTGCAGACTAGGCAGATCAGTGTGATGGTAGGCAGTTACCTGTGAGTGTAAGAGCCAAAAGGAACAGTAAGAAAAGAACATAATCAAAAGGATCTGAAATGCCAACAGGTGGACAGGAAGTTGGCTGTTATCCAGGGCTCTGTATTAATTTTTATGGCTTTTTTATTTCTGGGATGACACGTGGATTTTATGGTACCAAAAAACCCCTAAAATGTTACAGAACCAACTCCACGAGCTTGCCTAAATTAAGTGAAGCAAGAAGATATTTAGTGTCTATTTTAACTTTTAAGTCAAAGAACTGGATAAAGAATCCAACTGTCCTTTTCTGGGTTTCATTCTTCCATGTTTAATGTGTTTTCTGTTTATTTGACAGAACATTCTGGTAACGGAGGAACGCAGGTGAATGTGACTTGTATTGTTAAAGTATGTAGTCCAGACTGCAGTTCCCAGTTGCCAGAACAGACTAGTTCAACTAGCATGGATTATGGAAACGCTCCCTATTATTCCCCAACAAGGGAAGAAATTCCCCTTTCAAAAGAAGAAAACCCCTTGAAAAAAGGAACTGAAATTAAGAGCTCAGTGGAAAACGAGGACAATTTGCTCCAAGACTTACTTTCAGAAGAAAAGAAGTTTCCTCTGGGTATTCAAGATGCAGGGATGAAAACCAGTTAAAGGAAATTGCAGATCATATACTGATTGACTAATAAAATTAGCCAAACAACGCCGTATCTTCTGAAATAAACATTATCTTAAATGTAGCATTCCTGCAGAGACTTGAAATTTCAGACGAATATAGACAATGATGCTTTAGAGGTTTTTAATCTCGTCAGCTTTGAGAGTCAAAGGATGATCTTTGCAGCTTAAAAAAATTTGAATGCTTTTTCTTTTAAACTGAATGGCCAACTCCTCCCTTTCTTGGTGATACCCCAGAGAGACCTTTACCAGATTTGAAAAGGAACATTTTTCTAACTTTATGCCATCGATTTATCTGCTGAGGCTTCTTGTGATGATAATTTGGGTTCAGGTATGCCACCTGTCAAGAACATGTCTGTGACTAGCTCTTCTGGAGTTAATTTACTGGAGATAATTATCTGGAGTTAAAACTGGAGTTAAATTATCATTCATTCGATGCTAATGAATTATCCATTTTATTTCCTATCCCCTATCTTCATGGACATACTTTCCCTCATCCTCATGGATATTTCTTTTATTATTACAGTTTGCTTTTGCTTGTTATTGGACCAAACTTCTCAAATCAACTTCTTAAGTACATGGAGGAGTGCAACCTTTCACAGGAGCTTTTTTTACTAGATTACAACTATTATGTCTAAACAATAGCATCTCATTAGCTGTACATAGTTCATTTTATTTTAGAAAAGAAAATCTAGATTAAATAGTTGTTATCTTAGAGTAGGAAATAAGTTCCTTTTATTGACAAAGTTTGTCATCTTTGTGTCCTGATTTAATATAGTTTCCTGATTGATTCTGACCTCATTTTTGAGGTTAACCACAACCCCAAAATATTTTTCTCTATGTTCCAGTGAATATTAGAGAAGATCCATGTCAGATATGCCAGATAGCTCATGCCTACTGACCTCAGGAAAAGGACTCTCTCTGGATGATTGCATGGCATAATCTGTAAAACGTGGAATTGACTCAAACCTCAGAACCAAAAAATCCTGTTGTCCTTCACTTCTTGCGTGATGCTGAACATCCAGCCACCTCTTACAGAAAATTAGTAGAGGTTTTCTTTGAATCAAGTGGGAGTCTTTTGGTTTTGGAAGTCAATCTTTAGGATCCCATTTCCCATAATTATATTTTTTATGTGTGTGACTTAACTGACAATTGTGGTGTCTGTATTCAACCAGAATTTGCAATATGGTGTCTGAGTTACATTTGAGTGAAGTCATACAGTAGGCGTAACTTTTTTCTTTCATGCCGTGAGAACATACTGTTGGACTAGATGATCACTGTACTTCCCTTCCAACTGAACTATTCTATTCTACCTCAAGAGAAGCTAAATCTAGTAGTTATTTCTGAGGCCTTAGATTGAAAAAGGGTATTTTGGAATGGCATTTATTCTACAGCTACAGAAGAGATACAGATTTTAAAAATACAAATTTTAAACTTCCACAAAAGCTATGAGGTTTACTAATATTATTTCTGGAATGGAGAACTGGCAAACAGGTCTTTAATTCTACCATGAGAAACCTGTTACAACTGTGTATTAAACTTGTACTTGAAGGTAGTTCTCAGAGAAGACTTTGAAAATGGGCACACTGGAACTATTACAAAACTGAAGGATTTAGGCAAGAAAAGAACCTAATTTTATACAGCGCTTTGAACCTCTTGCACTGTAGTATTTTCACGTCTTGTTTGTCAGGTCCCAGTACTGGGACCAGATTGAAGCAGCGGTGGAAGATTTTTGGAGAAGTTTCAAAAATGTTAAAAAGGAAGATCCTGTTACAGCATTTAATTTACTGGGTTTTCAAATTACGGAGCTGTGTGATGGAATGAAAATCCAAGTTTTATGTTGAAGTGGGAAAGATGCACTTGTATTTGCTTATAAAAAGTTAAAAAAAACCAAACAACGCCTGCATTTTTTGCAAGTACATGTATCTTCCAAGTTCCCTGACCTCTTCATTAAACAAAATTCTAATTTCTAGAATGGGTTCTTTCATTCCATACGTTAAGCTGCTGCTTTCCAAGCAATTTTATTTCCTCCTGACGACAGGAGGACGGATCCCCTGCAGCCTGTGCCTGAAGAGAGGACTCTCATCAACAACCACCGCTCTTTCGCTTCAGCGTCGGCGAATGCGCTCATCGTCTTGGCCTCCAGCATGGGCAAACCGGCCTTTGACGCTTTTACGAGCCAAAAAGCTGTGCTTACAGCCACTGACTCGACGCCACGGCGGCTGTGAGGGCCCCCCTCCACCCCCGCGAGGATCCCGGCCCGGGCTCCAGTCACGCAGCCCCCGGCGGGACGTCCGCCCCCTCAGCCCCGCGCTCCGGGGCGGGGCGAGAGCGGCATGGCGCCGCCCCGGCCCGCCTCCGCCTCGAAGAGGCGAGGGAGGCGCACATCGATAGCTCGGCGTTCCCCTACCCAGGCGTCCCTCCGTCGGTTGGCTCGGGATCGATTGGCGTGCGGCCCGCCGACCCCGCGCACCACCGAGGAGGCGGCCGCCGCCGGGAGCCCAGGTGGGTACCAGCGGGCTGGGGGCGCGGGGCGGCGCTCGGGCTCCGGTCGTCCTTTCCTCCTGCGTCGGCCTGCGCTCCGAACTCGACCGCGGCTGCATGGCGCGGGCCCGGCCCCGAGGGGCCCCTCCCTGCCTCACGCCCCTCGCGGGGCTCCGCCCCGCCGCCCCTGCCCCCGGAGGGGGGCGACGGGCAGCCGCGCAGTCCCTTGTCCCTACGCCTCGGGGCCGGGGCCGCGGAGGGGAGCGCGTCCCCCCCACACTCCCCGCGTGGGGGCTCCGCCCTCAGCCTCGCGGCCGGGCCTCGAGGGTGCCCCTCAGCCGCCCGCCCCACCTGGCGCCCGCCGTTTGCCCCCGGCCTCTCCGTGGCTTCCTCCGGGCTCTCTGCGGCCGGCTCCGGGCAAGGTGACCTTTCGCTTCGTCTCCGACACGCGTTGCGTGCCAACAGGTCTCCTCGCTTGCCTGTCTCCTCCTCCTCCGCGCGATATGTTTGCTCGCGTGGAGGGAGAGGAGGGAGAGTGTCCTGAAGGCTTCTCCACGCCCTTTTTTTGTGTAAGCGGGCGCTGAGTGAAATGCCCCCCCTCCGCCTTGCACGGGCAGGCAACATCATCGCAGGTCGCTTCCCTCCTTGCCGCGCAGCTTTCGAGCTGCCTCTGGCACCGCTCTTCAGGGCCTGCCTCGTCCTCCCTGTTGGAAAAATTGCATCTTTTTCCAGAAAAAGTGAGCCAGCTTTGAGCGAGGTCCCGGTTTGGGCTGTGGGCTGCGGTTCTCATCCTGATAAGTGCTTACTGTTCCTTTTTCACTGTGTACGTTAAGGAAATAAAAACTGCCATGGAAAAGGAGTGTCTTGTTTTTCTTTCCAGTGGCACGGCAGCGGACTAGAAAGTTACAAATGTGAAAGCTTTAAAACATTTGAAAGATTCCTAAAACAGTTATTTACGTTCCACAAGTTTAGGTTAAAGAGGTGATTTACTTTATTTACAGTTCTTATGATGACTTCAGGCATGGAATTGTTCATGCGCTGGAGGTTTTCAGTCACTGGGCTGCTAACCTGTTCTGTGCTTCTGAATGTTTCCTCAAGATCTTTCCTCTGATTTGGTTTCTGACAGCTGTAGATTTCTTTCTTTAATTTACTTTTTTTTCAGGGTAACATGACAAGAATTACTGTATTTGCTTTTGTTTGAAGTCTGCCTTTCTTGACAATTTTACTAGAATAAAAACCTATAATATAGGTTATATATAATATATATATATATAATATAAGGTGGTGGCAGCCCCATTTGTACGAATGCTTGGTCTTTATTATGTGAAGTACTACTATTGTTTTTGAAAAATGTTGAGAAATTTTACAAAGATAAAAATGTTCAATGTGTTTAACGTGAAGATATGCTTTATTCGCATGTAATTTCCCTGTGTTGTTTATGATTGTGTTTCATTCTGCATGACAGCTTAGTTTCACTGTTCAGCCTTTAGAAGAAGCCTTTCCTTATTTGCTTAATTCTGGTTATTTTATTTAACTGTATTAGTTAAATGTTTTCACTGGCTTTTTTTAAAAGAAATAAAGGCTTAAATGTGGATGCCTAAAATCAACCAAACCTAATTAGGGGAAAACACTGAATCTTAATATAAAATTTAAAAGGTAACTCTTGAAGTAATTTTTTCATTTTTTTTCTTCTATTGCCAGCTGTAAATAAGTCTGACGTATCTTGCTTTTCTGCTCTGTAGAACTCAATCTTACGTACACTGGTTTGGGGAGGTATGTGGGATTGGGAGACTTTTCTAAACACAGAACTAATACATTTGCTGCGTTCTACCCGCAAGATATGACCTGTGTGCTTTTTTTCCTTACTGTAATGACATGCTTGATCTTGCCCTTGCAGAAGCTAATAGTGGTTTTGCAATTCACTGGTTAAAAACTTGAACAGGGACTTAGGGGTTTTGATAGTCTGATTACCACATAAGTTGAAACAGAAATGGCTGGAGAAGAGTATGAAGGGAAGCGCTTACATGTATGACCAGTGTTGCTTCTCTAATGTAGCTTTTGTTCCCTCCTTGATGCAGTAATCTGTGCTATCTCTTTGAAAACCTATTAGAGTAACTGTTGATGAGCTATTTATGGGGCTTGTATCTTATTACTTCCCACACATACACTCTTCCTAAAAAAGGGATTTGGGTAGTGTGAGTTGTTTCACAGATGTTATGTAAGAATTCTACAGAAATACAGTTGAAGACTCTGGGCTGTCACTTCAGACCAGGCTTCCAAAACCAGAATGCTGGCAGCTTGAAGAAAATACTGCCAGCAGAAGTTGAGGAGGCCAGTGCAAAACGGCTTCAGTCAACATGGAATTTTAGTCTTCCCTTTTCTGGAAGAGGATTGTAGATAGACCTTGCTGATTATTGCAACAGAATGTGGTGTTTTGATTAGAAAAAAGATGGAAAGATGAACTTAATTTGCAAATGGGAGTGGTCTCTAATCAAAGATCTATATGAAACTCTGATTTGAGGCTTAAATGGTATAGCAGAAAGCATTTTTTAAGGTAGAAATCAAGCTTAGTGTTTTTACTGCTTTTTAGATGGATTACAGTGATAGCAGTGTGTCAGCTCTGCTGAGAGTGTGTATTTCAGATAATAATTCTCTTCATGTTTTTTCTTTCAGAGTGAGACTGTAATTATGGAACAGAAATCCAGAAAATGACAGAAAAACATTAGTTGCCCTCTTCTAGGACAGTCATGTTGGAAGGATTGGTAGCCTGGGTCCTCAACACCTATTTGGGCAAATATGTCAATAACCTGAACACAGACCAACTTTCAGTTGCTCTTCTAAAGGGTGAGGCTTTGTGGTATTTTCTGTAGTGTTTTCGTACTGTGATTTTAAAAAAACCAAAAGTGTTATGTTTTTGTAACAACTGGAAGGTGGAGTAGAAACAATATCGTGTTTAATGTTTATACAAACCATTTTAACATAGAGTTTTGTGCTGGCACTTTACAGTGAATAGTAAATTCTCTTGTGTTCCTATCTTTGTTGCTTTTTATCAACACTGTTAAACCAATTTATATGAAACTTTCAAAAGTATGCTTAGCATATCTTATCAGCATGTTTAATTTATATAATATTTGAGTGTCATTTTTCTTGATACTGTTCAGTAACTTTTCTGTTGAGGGACTATGGCAGGAAGTATTCTGTAGTATTTACCTCTTAAGTTTTGGTGCTAGTAGTTACTCCCCTGTAATTAAGACTTCTGGTTTATGTCACGTTGTGTTCATGAGTCTTATAATTTTACAGAGTCCTCAGATCAATGCTTTCTAATTTACCTTTTGCTGCTATTTGCTATTTTTGGAGACAATATTTTATAACACTTCAAAGCTTTTCTGTGCGTGCTTGTTGTAATATTGAGAAAATACTCGAAGTATCTCTTTTGAAAAGACAAGGAGTAGAAGCTTTCTCCTTGGTTACAAGAAAGTTCAGATCTAAAACCTGCAGAAGATTGCTTCTAGATTACCTCATCAAATAGTTTGAGCATATGTCATTGGAAAATTAACAAGTATGTTAAATAACCACTGCAATTGTAACACAGCTTGAAGCGGTAGGTTGGCTGTTCTCATGAAATCCTATTTGATTTTTTTTTTTCTTTGAAACATGGTGCTGGTCCTTTGAGGCTTATAATGTTCAAGTTAGCGTTCGTTAACATAATTTTGTTTAACAGACTTGTCTCTTTTTCTGCTTTGTATAGGTGCTGTTGAATTGGAAAACTTGCCACTAAAGAAAGATGCCTTGAAGGAACTGGAATTACCATTTGAAGTAAAGGCAGGTTTGTATTTTGCTTGTGTGTGCAGGACAAATATGTATAAACAGGAGGTATTGCATATTTTAGAAGAACCTTTACCCATGAGTCAGAGGCTTGAAGAAATGAGGTAACCTGGTTTTCAGGTAATCCAATTCTATTTGAGCGTCTTTGTTTCTTACACCACTTTTTCTTTTATGTTTTCTAAGGATGATAAAGTATGTTTACACAGGAATCTGATAGCATCTCTGTTTTGTATATTTAGGTTTTATTGGCAAAATAACACTACAGATACCTTTTTATCGCCCACATGTGGATCCATGGGTGATATCTGTCTCAAAGCTACACTTAATTGGTGCACCAGAAAAAAAAGAAGATTTTGATGAGGAAAGGGAGAAGTCTCAAGAAAGAGAACACAAGAAAGCCCTTCTTCTAGCACTTGAAGAAAAATGGAAAGTGAGTCACGCTCGTCTGTCATGGTGAAGAAACCACTATGGTAGCTGGATTGCATTTACATCTCCTAGCAAGTAGGAGAACAAATGCATAAGAAACTAAGTTAGAATTTGATTCATACATGCTAACGTAGTGCAATTTCTGTGCTACCCCACCCCCATCATGCTGTGTCCCCCCCATATATTGGAGACACTGAAATGGGTTTACTTTCTCTTTCTCTCTGTTCACAGTAATTGCAGTGTAACAAGGTACATTGTTTCCTGACCAGTTGTTACAGTGGTGGTTAATGCTTGTCCCTGTTTTCTCTTTTAGAAAGAACGACAACAGAAAGGGGAATCTTACTGGTACTCGGTTACTGCATCTGTAGTCACAAGAATTGTAGAAAACATTGAAGTAAGTGTTTGCATTGTAGAGCTTTTCCCACTTATTAAGAATTAACCTGTGCCCACTGTGCTTCACATTATGTAGTCCTCAGAGAAGAAATAACGTAAATCAAAGCTAGATGTTTGGCAGAGGGCAGTCCCTTTTCAGATGGAACCTTCATAACTTCAGTCTTAAACTAGTCCTGATGGGGACTTCTAGAAAGGAAAAACCCTCCATCCTGCTTTTACCAAGGGGAAAACATCATTTTTTTTTGGTTTGTAACAGTAGGTGAATAATGTATTTGCATGAAATCTGATGGTTTTTGCTCGCATTTTAATTTTTAGTTATAAACCCAGCAAAATACTGAATTGTTGATGAAGCAGAAGAGCATGATTTGTTTTGATAAAAAGACAGTTTGTAAACAAAAAAGTCAGAGTTTCTGCTGATCTATGACTTTGATTATTTGACTGCGTGTCATCTCTCAAGTTCTTTATTCTTTTTCTGCTATTACTAAAAATCTACCATGTGTCTCCTAAGTTTCAAAATGACTCAAAAATATGGCTGTTGTGCTCAGTTGCTTTTCCTCTTTGGAAGTCCTAATGTAGTTAATGACATTTTAGCAACATTTACATCATTAATCATTTGTCTTTAAGAACCAGAAGCTTTCTACATATTCATTGCTAAAGTTTGTCTGCTCACCTCCATGAAAGGACTATCCTTCTTTTTTCCTTGTGTGACTGTATTATTTGGTTGCGTTTCAACTCAATAGAGACAATTCAGAAGCAAGACACCTCAGACTGCTTGCTTTTCCTGATATGTTTGAGAAGAATGTATTTGATGCAGGAGCTGAAGGCAAGAGTATCTATACTTTCATCAGTCCTGGACTCTACATTCTCTGAGAAGCGACAGTAACTTGGTGCTCTGAAAGGTTTTACCAATGCAAAATTAGTTTGGGTCACCTCGTATTGTTATTCGTTTGTCATTCTGGCCAATGCTGATGATTCTAGTGCATAAAACAAATTGGAGTCTTTGGTTGGCAACTGCACATTTGCCTTTAAAATGGAGAATAATAGTAGGGTAGCAAAATAAAGTATGCTGTCTTGTAAAAGTGACTACTTGATTTTGGGGAGAAGGGCAGGGACTAGTGGTATCTGAGAAGAAGATAGAACCAGAGAGTACAAAATCAGAAGTGAGGAATAGGATTTCTATGAGATCTAAAGAACTACCAGAAATTTGTTAGAGAATTGCAGAAATTAAATATTAAATTGCTTCAGTATTAATGATTAGTACTGCTGTCCACTCTAATATAGTTGTCTCTAGTAATGTTTTTTTTTCTGTCTAGTTAAAAATTCAGGATGTCCATTTGAGATTTGAAGATGGTGTCACAAATCCTTTGCAGCCATTTGCGTTTGGCATATGCATCAAAAATGTATCAATGCAAAATGCGGTATTTGAACCAGTAAGTATAACTTTTTGTACAAGAACTCATGGCAGCTAAGATATGATGCTGTATTTTATGGGTGCTAGTAAATATTTAGTAAAACATATGGCATTTTAATAATCTTCTCGTTATTGTAATAAATTGATTCCGGGCATTTCATATTGTTTATTGAGTATGTAGAACTAAAAACTGCATGGCACATGTTGTGTGATCTTGACTTTATTCCACTTTTTCTACTTCAGGTAGAGAAGCTGATGCGGAAAAAACAGTTGGATGTTGCTGACTTCAGCATTTATTGGGATACTAACTGCACATTATTGGGTGACCTGCCTCCTGGTCAGCTACAGGTACAAGAGAGAGATTTTGCATATGAAAGAGACGTTGTTGTTGTTAGTCTCCTTTCTATATTGCAGACCTAATTGACTTAGAAATTATTGGATCTTGGCTTTTAAGAGCAACAGAAGTTTATGGTTAAGTTGTTTTTTTTAATGGACTGGCATGCTAATAAATTGTATTCTAGTATGTGAAACCAGTGCATCCTAATAAGTATTGTACGCTCATTTCTTATAAGTTTGCTTGTAACCCACAGGAAGCAATGGATAAGAGTATGGAAAGTCGTGATCATAATTACATCATGGAACCTGTATGCACTTCTGCTCTTCTTAAGAGAAATTGTTCTAAGGAGCCTTTAAGATCACGCCAGACTCCGCGGCTTGAGTGTGACATCCAGCTTGAGACTATACCCTTGAAACTTTCACAGGTAAATACCAACCATCTTCATTTAACTCTCAGTGTCTGAAACAGACTGTTGAGAAGCGGGCTAAATGAGGCCATCATGAGCTCTGTGCTATGAACTATGTTAGGCTGTGTTGGGTGTCCAAACTAGTTAGTGTTCAAGATTGCTTTGGTATCTGTATGCCATATTGTGTGCTGCTTTATGGTCAGTTTCGAACAAAATGACTGATCAAAGAAGGTACTACTTTATGTTTTGGTTATCTCAATGTCTACAGATTCAAATTGGTAGTTTGACATAGAGTGTATTTTTTCCTTCCCACGTGCTGCAACTGTTGTTTGTATGTCAGTGCTTCTGAAGATTCTGCTGGTAAAATGACATCTTGAATTATCTATCTCTAAGAAAACAGTTGCTGATTCAAACAGCGAAATACCTGTAGAGGTCATAAAACTGGTAGTGTTTGTAACAGCTTAAATACCAATTATTGTAGCATAAAATTAATACTTCATTAAAGATTTAGTTTTAAAGGCAACTGAAAGGGATATACTAAAGAAGTTGTTTAAAACCAAGCATTCCAAATTATTTAATTATTTTGCTGCAAGTGATTATTGCAAAAAAATTACATTCTTGTTTGTTTATTAGAGTAATAGGAGGGATGCGTATGGGGTTTTTTTTAGTCTATAGAATGTACGATAGCAGCTGATTTTAGGTCAATAATCTGACATGGAAGGAGATTTCATTCTGTGTGTTTGTAAATAAAGAAGTCTGTAAATTGAATGTCACACAGTAACTACTAGCTACTGGGAGACGATCTGTGATACTAGAGAAGCAAATTATGATTAACATTAATCTTAACTCTGAAGCCATATGCAGGCCATTGATGCAGATAAACTAAGCCTGTGGTTGGGTTTTTTGTTTGTTTTTCCTCCCCTTTGCTTTGGAAAGCACTCTGATATTGCCTAATTGATCTGTGTATTGTTTTACTAAAAGATGCAGTATCAGCAGATCATGGGATTTTTAAAGGAACTGGCTAGAAAGGAACGACAGCTTAAATTCAGGAAGTGGAGACCAAAGGTTACAGTAACAGAGAAGTAAGTAGATCTACATATGTGGTGGTGTTAATATGGTATTAAAAACTATACTAGGGAGACTAGAATGAAGACAAATATAAAAAGGTAGATAATAATCATATATTAGAGTTTCAGTTTTCATGTTTTGTTCCCCTACCTCATAAATCAGTTTTAAATGTTCAGATGTAATTCAAACTTAAAATAAAATTATTCTTACCCGAGGTTTTAAATCCTTCTTTCACAGCTTCCAAGAACTGAAATTAAGGTGGAGGTTCTACTCCCATGCACACGCTGTGGTGGTCTGAATTTTTCTTTGTGGAAAAAGCTCCTATTAAGTTTCTTTTATTGATAAATAAGAAAGATGGTGTCAGTTCAGACTAGGGGTCTACGTAACTCCGCATTTTGTTGTCTATGCCTGATATAACAGCTGTAATAAATCCCACTGAAGTGGTGGGGACTTTGCAGGGCACTGTTCTGCACAATTTGTAGAACTAGCCAATGTATGCTGTCTCTAATACTGATGTTTTTTCTGACCAGTTGCCCTCTGTTTTTTCACTGAACCTCTTGGACCATTCACCAGTTTGATAGGCATTTCTGGTTTTTTTTTAAATACTGGTAACACAGTAATTTAAAAATGTTTCAGCTGCCGAGAATGGTGGATCTTTGCTTTGAATGCTAATCTTTCGGAGATCAGGGAGCAGAGACAACGTTCTACCTGGGAGTTTGCATTACATCGAGCCCAAGATGCAGTGTCTTACACTGACATGTATTATAGCAAGTTGAAGGGGGAACCACTGTCTACTGCAGAGCAGGTATTTAGATTTGAGTTTTCTACAGTGTTGATTAATCATCTTATATTTGATTTGTTTCATCTTCTCAAATTTAAAATCTGTTCCAGTTTAGAAACATCTTTAGTTTTACTGCAGGCTGTTTTCACTGAACAGACTGTCTTTTGACCACAACTGAGTTTTTAATGCTTGAAGCCTGGGGTTGTGGGAGGTGTGTGTGCGGCAGGGTCCTTGTGTTTTGCTGTGCAAAAAGCTGTCCTTTTTTTATTTTTTTTTTTTTTTGAGCTGTAACTGGTTTTCACCAAAAATAGCATTAACTCTCATAGAATGCTCATGTCAGTCTGTGACATCTTTCTTAACTCGTGTTCTCTATAGACTCAGAAAGTATTTAAATATCAGAAGTGTGTCAGGTCACCCATATGGGTGGGTAGATAAGTGAGAAAAATTGTGGCTAGTTGACAGTGTGTTTGGGGGTACTTTGTTGGTTTTTTGGTTTTGTTTTTCCACAGTTGATTTTAGGATGAATTTAGAAGGAATAATGAATCTGTGTCCTACTTCAGAAAGAAAAAATCCTGTGAACTATAATTAGCTGCTTTTTATCTTCAAGTGTTTTGGGACTTTTTGTTAGAACAGTTCAGAGCACCATGTACCTCACCTGTATTAATTACAGGTGTGATTCTATTGATACTTTAACTTGTATGTAATCCTCACTTGTGTCATATAGACATGAACTGTAAGAGTAGGTCAATGTACTGGAAATTTTATAGTACCTGGTAAAGCGGGAGACTTACTGTCATACAGCTTGTGTTGTATTCAGCAGAGCTGTGAAATGTAACAAGGGCAATGCCAGTGAACTAGAAAAATGTCTTCTGCTTTCTTGTTCCATGATACATTTTTTAGACTTGGGTGAATCATAGGCTTCCACAAATAATATCTTAATGAGTACAAAGACAACGACATGTCTAAGTAACTGAATACGAATACTACATTGTCCTAATTTATGCAGTTCATTTCCTCTACCTTCTTTACTCCAGACAGAAGCTTTGTTTGCTCCTGGCTAAGCTAGGCATTCTGTTAAATGAGGTTATTTTCCATGGCTTAAATTTTGTGCTGCAAACTTTGCTGCTGATGCATGATGGGAGGATATAGTTGAGCAAGGAATTTTTACCATAAAAAGTATTAAAATAATGTATTTTACAATGCATATAAACTTTGTTTGTAATACAGGGGAATGTCAGTGTTATGGTTGCCTACGTGACTTCTGGTTATTTTCATATGCTTAGGCACTTGGATACTATCATTAATGCCATGTTAGTTTTCTCTATGAATCTCTAACTTACTCAGTGCAAAGATGCTTGACATGTTTGTGAACAAGATGCTATATTCTTTTAGTGCAGTTACTTAACCTTTTTTGTCTTTTCAGGCAGAAATGCATCGTATTGAGGATGAGCAAACTTACGAAGAGTTGAAGATACTATATGAGATAGTTCATGATAAATTTCATGACTTAGCTGAGGTGAGGAACGTTCTGCGTACAGGGTAATATATGGAATCTTTAAGTGAATTATTCTAAGGTATTGTGTTCTGTTCTGCTGGAGACTGTTGGCATGTATTTGCTTTCATTTAGAAGTGTGGCATTAATGCTAAAATTGCAAAACAGTGCTCAGTTCCTGCAGTTTTTACTGTTGTGACACTTGCACAGTGAAATCTTTTGCCTAGTCATATGATGATCTTCCTCAATAGTATCCTTGCCAGAATTCCTAGGGCAAGTACTCTTCATCTTAAAAACAGAGAGTGGAAATAAGGACCTATAATGAGTATCTTCCCAGAATAAATATATGGCAGAAGTGAGCCTCATGTAAATGGCTTTCTGAGCACACTTCGTAAAATGTGAACTAATCTCTGTAACAGTACAATGTCATCTCTCTTTCAAATACAGTTGCTAAAATTTAGAGTTGTGTTTTACGCTGTCAAATGACTTCTTATTTGGTTTAGTGTTTCTAGACCAGGATTTAAATAATGCCATATGGCTTCATTCATATATGAATATGCAGCAGGTAACTGATGATACGTTTGTATTTCTTTGCTGCTGCTCTCCTAATAGGCTAATTATTGGCTAAAAATATCACTGCTGGTATACTGAAGAGTGCTGAGTAAATACTAGATGGAATTGTATTCTTATTGTGATGGTTTTTGTACACTTGTGATATTCTTTCACTTAACCAGCGGTAATATGTACGTCTTCAATGTTCAAACATAGAGTGTTAAAGAGCCACTGCCCGATTCCCCTGGAGGTTCCCCTACAGCAGAATCTGCCCATGCCAGTAGCACTGGAATGCTGCAGTATCTTCAGTCTTGGTTTCCTGGTTGGGGAGGTTGGTATGGATATGCTCAGCAAACATATGAAGGTGAACCTTTTGAAGGGCTGCTGCCAGACCCAAAGGAACAGTGGAATCCAGAAGACATACTAGGTACAGAAATACAGGGTTTTCTGTTTCTTTTTAAGGCTGTTAATGCTACCATAGTTAGATACCTGGTAAAGGTGAACAGGAACAAGTCTTTGGTTCTCCACTGTTAAAAGATTACCTGTGTCCGCTGATGTACCTAGGCAGCAGAGCCTGTCTAAAGCTTAATAACCTGTTAAAAAATCTCAATACCTGGTATACCCGCTCATTTCTAAAACAATATATGGAATAGAGTTGCTTCCTCTATTATACATATTTATGGCAAAGAGCTTTGGGACTTTTTCTGTTCAGGTGGGTGACGGTCATGTGGCATGCTGTGGCTGGGTATAACATTAACAGTACTGAGTTGTTGGGGGTCTTTGTAAATTTTGGGTTGCATTACCTTAATTGAGCTAGAAGAGTTCTACGGAATATTCAGTTTTGTTAAGGAAGAAGGTATCTCTGCTTTATTTTCTGTTTCTATTTTTCTTCCCTAGAGCTGGGGAAATCTTTATTTTTAAATTCAGAGAAACTTTTTTGTTCTTCAGTAGCCTTCCAGAAACTTGACTTATTTAATGCATTGGTTTGTGGTTTTGGTTTTTTTAATTAGGTGCAGATGAATTTTTTGATCCTGCTGCAGATGCTTCTAGCATGAATACCTTTACAAAGAGAGATCATGTTTTTGCTAAGTTAAATCTACAGTTGCAGGGTGGCTCTTTCACTCTGTTGCATAAGGAGAAGAAGGTGGTGCATGCTGAGGAGACTGCTTTTATGCAGCTGGAGTTTTCAGGTATTATGTTAATTTCTGTTCTTTCCCCAAAAAGACCAGAGCTTTGTCCACCTTCAGACCTTTGATTTTTGTTTTTAATTCTTCAAATTACTATACTGAAACAAAGTTCAAAATGAAAATATGAAAACAGCGTGTGGAAATTGATACATCAAGTGAAAATAAGTTTCTCTTTTCAGATGTTGTGAGTGATTTCAACACAGAAATCTAATTTCAGGCATTGTTATGTGTGAAAGGAGGACAACTGTAGAAATACGTGCTTCACAATCATTGTAATGTGTTCCAAATTTCTGTGTTTAATTTTTTTATTAGAAATAAATATACACAAGCACTTCCAAAAGACTTGTTTGGATGGTACTTGTTATCTATAAAATTTAGATAAAACCTGTGCTGTGTACTAAAAGAAAAGTATTTTATGTACTTATATTCCAGGTGTAAAGATCCTAGCAGAATCCCTTCCTCGCAGAAATTCTTCCCTTCTCAAAGTTCAGCTTGGTGGTCTTTTTCTGAGGGATTTGGCAACAGAAGGGACCATATTTCCTGTTCTTGTTTTCCCGAATCCTGTAAGTGAAAAAGCACTCTTTAAGTAACTATGTACGATGCATAGTGTGTATGAAAATAGTTGTGTTCCAAAACTCAATACATGTTTTTCTTGGTTTGTGTCTTAGCCCAGGAAGAGAACACAAAAGTCTTGAAGAAAAATTTCCACTTGTTGAACTTACTTTTCCCCTGCCTTTCCAAACATCACTCGTAGAACTCTTCATTGTTTGCTCTGTATGCTTGTAACTTTAACATTACAGTTATATGTGTTGGGAAGAAGATAATTTGTTGAATAAGATTTTATTTTTGGAACAATCGGCATTGCTGCTTAATCAGTGATTGTTCTTTTTCATAAAGCTTTTTGGTCCAAGTAAGGTTTTATTTCACCTCTGTACTGTTCTGCATTTCAGACTTCAGTCTGTCTGCTACATGAGTAGATAGTGTTAGCTTCTTAGTCATACTTCCTTCTCTTGTTTGACTACATCAAGAAAAAAATGCATATAATAATCTTAGACTATACATGTAATTCACATATAAAGTGGTGATAAGACTAATACAGAAAAGACTTCTATGCTTGTATCAGGTGGCTTGGTTGATTTTATCTAAACAATCTTTTTCTTTTAAATTCTTATCAGCAAAAAGAGGTTGGCTGTGTGTCTTCCTTTGGGCTCCAGAGTTTGTCCTCAGAAATGACTAATCAGAACACTGGTAAAGATTTCATTTTATGTTTGATGATAACAAGCATATGAGAATTCCTACAAACCAGAAATTTCAAAACTGAGTGCCTAGAGTTTGAATTCATGCAAATGCTTTTTGCAAATAATAATGATAAAATCATAGAACCTTTGTTCAGACATAAGGGTGCATGCAAGTTGACTTTAAAGAAAGCGAGTAAGAAGAAAATGTATTTCAAGACAATGGGAGTTGGACTTGCTCTTTGTCTTGGTTTAAAAAAAGCAAAAAATCGGTAGGAGTTCAACATTAGGACTCCAGTTCTGAAAATGTTTTTGTATGTAAAAACATGTTGAATTGTCAGTTGTAGAAGTTGATCATATTACTTGCTTTTCTGTTACTGAAGAATTTTCAAACAGGTACTACTTTCCTAGTACTACCAATTAAAATTAGTTATTAAATTCTTTGGGGTTTGTTTTTTGCTTTTGTCCATTTGTTTGTTTTGTGGTTTTTTTTTTACAATTGCTTTTTGTAACTTATTTTTCATTCAGTTGCAGATCCTGATGCCCCAGTGTTTGAGATGCTTTACGAAAGAAATCCAATCCACAGCAATTTTGAGAGACGCCTGGAAGTCAGTACCAGACCTCTAAATATTATTTACAATCCACAAGCCATTAAGAAAGTAGCTGACTTCTTCTACAAGGGAAGGGTTCATACCTCAGGTTAACCTTTAATGTGTTTTTTTTGGTGGGGTTGGGGGTTTTTTTGGTGGTATTACATCTTTTCTTATCTTTGATTTTTATTTTCATTCTTAGAAATATGAAGCACTAATCAAAGAATCTCTGCTCTAAATTCAAATTAAGCAATACTCTGAGTCTCTTCTGGATTTTTTGTTTGTTTGTTTCTTTGTTTAATTGAATCAGGGATTTCATTTGGGCAGACTCCTGAAAATTCTACTTTAAAATTGCAAATTGCTGCTATACCACATGGTGGATGTTCATGCTGCCTACATTAAAATGCATAAATAAAAATGCCTGTTTCTGTAATCAGTTCTGTAAACTGATGGATAACAACAGTTTTTTTGAGAGGACAGTTAAAAGCAGAATATTTTCTAGAGTAACAATAGAGGAGAAATTGTGTTCTAATTCCTGCAGTATCTCTTCTGTTGGTTAAATTAAGTCAGACCTTTGTTACAGCTGCTTGAAGTACCTTGTTTTTTATACATTGAACATACTGGTTCCCTAAGCTTCTAAGGACAGCAAGATTTAGGTATCTAATACCTGAGCCTGTAACATTATAAAGTGACTACCTTTGTAGTTTTAGTTATTAAAAGTTCAATATCTGAGGAGATGAGAGGTGAGAATAAGGAACATCAAAATGTTCGTAAAGTACCAATTCTTTTTCTGTTAATTTTGGCAAATACCAAAAGGTTTAAGCTGCCTAACATAAAGGTGTGGATGATACTTACCTTTTCTCACAAGGTGAGAATACTCCATAAATGTTAGAGGTAAAGTTTAAAACAAACCAACCAAACAAAAAAAGACCGCCTACACATTCCGCAAACTTCTTAACATTTAGTCAGAATTTCTTCTGTTGCCATACTTACCACCTTTTCTGTCTCCCTCAAATTTAGTAACTCAGGTTGAAGGTCTGTCAAATAAATCAGAAAAAGGTTTGGGAAGTGGGTTTTTTTGGTGGGATTATTTGTTTTGTGCTTAGATGCTTCCTTTTTTCTGTGAAGCAGCCTGGTGTGTAGGTACAGCCAATGGCTTTCAATTGCTGTGTTTTCCTGTCCTATATTTTACAGCCAAAATTTAAAATCGATCTTCTCTTTTTTTTTATTTTTCTGATTCAATAATAGATAAACAAAATTATACCTAGTCAGTTTTGTATCTCTTGTGCAGGTTTTGGATATCAATCTGAGTTAGAGGCAAGAGTGGCTGAAGCTGCCAGAAGACAATACAACAAGCTGAAAATGCAGACAAAAGCTGAAATCAGGCAAACTATTGATCGTTTACTAGTGGGAGACTTCATTGTAAGTTTTTTCCTCCAAAATGTTTATGTAGGCTTTTTTCCCATGTGTTTTAGGACTTGAAGCTCTAAAGAGTGGGGTTTTTTTGTTGTTTGTTTGTGTGGTGTTCTTTTTAAGAAAGTGGGGAGTTTTACATGTGGTATTGTAGTATTTCTTTTGCTGTCAAACAGTCCATTTTTGTGGTGCAGACCTGCTGTGATTAATGGCAGAATAGTATTTTTCTGTTCTTGACTCTGTTCTGAGATGAGCTCATGGCAACTTGTTGGCTCCAGTGTGCACTGGAGCACTGTTACATCAAACTTACTAAATTTGTGTGTAATTTATTTAAATATTATTTTCTAAATTAAAAAGTAGTTCCACATTTATTTGGTTTTTGCTCATTCTTCAGTTTTCAAGTAATATTAGTATATGTATCAGTATCATTAACCCCTAGCTTTGGAGTTAGCTATATTGATGCAAGATACTTGTTTTATACTGTTGTCAGTGAAATGAAAAAATACTTGTTCTGGAAAGTTTGATGTTTGATAAAACAGTCTAGTGCATGTTGTATTTATGGATAGCCTTGACAAGGATTTATCTGATCCAGTGTCATGTAAAAGGTAGATGCCTTCTCAGGTATGCGGGTAGATTCACTCTCCTCAGCTTCGAGATGGGGAGTCCCTCTGGAGAGGGACTCATTGCATCTATGTTAGCATGGGATGTTTCATCTACTGAAAGTGTCTCTTCATTGACTGTAATGGGAGTCTGTGGTTTAACAAACTACCAAACTTTAGTATGGCTGAAGTTTGTGAAAGTTAGCTCTTCAGTTGATAAAAGTAGCTAACTAGATTGATTTGTTTGACATGGCTTTTTTTGTAGGTGAGGGGAAACTATTTCCTACGGGCTATTATATCTTCATTCTTAACTTCCAGGAAAACAGCAAAAGCTGGACCGTGTGCCTTGATATTTCTGCCCCTCAGGTGATCTTTCCTGATGATTTTAAATTTGTGGATCCAGTGTTAGTTGTTGTAGATCTGGGAAGAATATTACTTACTAATTCTCAAGGTATGATCTAGAATTATTGCAGCTTATCTTTTCTTTCCACTTTCTCCCAGAAACTCTTTTGTCTGTGTAGAAAGTAGAGATGTCTTAAGGTTATTTCCCCTATATATGCATAGAGTTTCACATAATAATTCTGCTATTATCAATAATTTTTTAATTAAGATTGATATACAGGTTTAAAAATAATTGGGGGGGGTGCAGGGGGTTTTTTTTTGTTTTGTTGGGGTTTATCTTTTATATTAAAGGCTCCCCTGTGGAATCTTGCACCTCTTGAAGGCTGTGAACAGGTGTGAAGCTAGTGTGTCAGGCACTTTACCATGGATATGATTTTGGCTTAGAGTAGTATAAGATTTAGCTGTCAAACGCTTTTTTGGGACAGTGCTCCCAGTGAAAGTATGCTTTGAAGAAGCCCTCCAATTTTGGAGTCACATGGATCTCTGTTCTTAGCATATGTGTCTATAGCTAGCCAAATAAAAGTGAAAGGAAAATTGGTGTCCTTTGTTTGTATCACAAGATCATTGGTTCTTAAACAAATCGTTGCTTCTTTCCTGTTCCACTAGGAAATCAATGCAGGAAAATTAAAATTAAAGTACAGTGGAACTTCTAAATAAAATTAGACCTACTTAAAATCTAGCTGAACTGTATGGCGTGTGAGGATATGTTAAAAAAAATTGGAACAGATATCTATGTGGTATTCATTTCCTTTTTTAAGAAGTACAGCTGTAGGATGAGCTGTTTTGTGGTGCATTGGAAAGTTGAGATGTCAAGCCCAAAATTGTCTACAGCGCAATGTTTGTACTCTGGATGTCTTTGAATCATTTAATCTTTTCTAGCACCAACCAGTCTGTGCAAGGTTTTACTAGCTTCCTTTTTAGTAAATTCTGCCTTATGGCAAACTAGAAAAAGAACACAAATTGTTTATGCAAGATTGATTTGTATTTTCCTGTGAAATTGAGGCAATGGTCTGTTTAGAGTAGCTTGAGCTTAAAAAAAAATGGTAAAAAAAGTACAGGAAAGTTTTGGGGAGTGTTTCGGCTTTGTAGAGTAGAAAAAATCCTTTTCTTATGATAATAAAATGAAAGTTAATATTAGGCAATAAAGTTAATTGGACAAAAACTTCTGATCATAAATATATTGTAGTTAAATAGCTCTTATCTTTCAGTTGGTTTTGAGGATCAAAAGAATTGCATAGGCAGAGTAACGGATTTTTTTTTTTTAACAACTTGATTAAAAGTAAATCTTGTAGTAATAGTAAGTGGGTTAAAAAATTGAAACAATAGTGTCTTTTAATAGATTCTATAATACATTGTGACTGACATCTGACATCTGCATGCATGTAAAAGAAGTGTAGTAGATTTCCTGTTGAGGAAAAAAAAAAGAGACAGTGGAAGGAGGCAAGGACAGTTACCAGATATACTTTGTGTTTAAAAAAAAAAAATACAACTTCAGACAGGGTGATCAGGTAATTGATGGGAAACATCCAAGGAGGGAAGAGAATACTTTTATCTGTTTGTTTCTTTACTATTATTTTTTTAATCCACAGAAGAATCTAAAAGGAGTGCAGATACTTTTTCTTCAGAAGTCAATGAATTGAGTGATGAGGAATATAAAACACCTCTTGCAACTCCTCCCAATACTCCACCACCAGAATCTAACACTAATAGTGGCATCAAAATGTCTGAATTTACTGGAGTAGAAATAAGTGAAGAGCAGCTACAAGCACACTTAATGAGTAAAAAAATGTATGAGAGATACACACTTTCATTTATGGACCTTCAGATCATGGTGGGCCGAGTGAAAGACAACTGGAAACACGTTCAGGATAGTGATGTGGGTCCAACTCATGTGGTAGAAAAATTCAATGTTCACCTGCAGTTGGAGCGCAGATTGATATATACGTCTGACCCAAAATACCCAGGAGCTGTCTTGTCTGGCACTCTGCCAGACTTGAAAATTCATATCAATGAAGACAAAATATCAGCTCTGAAGAACTGTTGTACACAGCTGAGTACATCTGAAACTAAGTCTTCTGATGCCCTACATTTAGGGAAAGACAAGATTTTTGCAGAGGTAGACCAACTTGGCAGTTTGCATGATTCTGTAATGAATCTAACACAGAGTGTTGTAATGCTAGAGCAACATACCAGGGAAGTTCTTGTTGAATCTCAGCTGCTTTTGGCTGAATTCAAAGTAAACTGTATGCAGTTGGGTGTTGAAAGTAATGGACGATATATCTCTGTACTCAAGGTTTTTGGCACCAATGCCCATTTTGTGAAAAGGCCATATGATGTAGAAGTGTCCCTGACTGTTCATGGCCTGTTACTGGTTGATACTATGCAAACATATGGAACAGATTTTGATCTTTTGATGGCTTCTCATAAGAATCTGAGTTTTGATGTGCCAACAGGAAGTCTTCGAGACAGCAGGGCTCAGTCGCCAGTTTACGGACCATACGATGCACGTCCCATTGATGTAGCTAGTTTGGCAGAGAGATGCACTACAGTGTCAAATAATTCATCTGGTAACAATGGAGAAGATCAAGAGTCCTTGATAAAATTAGAGTATCAATTTGTGAGTGCAGAATGCCCATCAATGAATTTGGATAGCAGTCTGCAGGTGATCTCTGTACAGGTGAACAACCTGGATATCATCCTTAATCCAGAGACTATTGTTGAACTGATTGGTTTTCTGCAGAAATCTTTCCCAAAGGAGAAAGAAGATTCTAGTCCCCAGCCTTTAATAACTGACTTGGAAAGAGATTGGAGGGAAGAGGAAACCTTTCAGTCTACTTATGTACAGAATACAGAGGTAGCAGTTGATATTCACTGGTTAAATATACTCCTCCTCAGGACAGTTGGCATGACAAATGGAGAAAAATATGGCAGAAAAATTGCAACAGCCAGTATTGGTGGCACCAAAGTCAATGTCTCCATGTGTAGTAAATTTGATGTAAATGGCTCTCTTGGATACCTTCACCTTATGGACCTAACACAAGATAGTGTTAAGAACCAGTATGTTGTCAGCATAGGGAATACAGTAAGGTATGAAAATCTCATTGGTGATGTAGATTACTTTGAATCTTTATTCTTTAGGCTTGATGATGGAAATAGCCTTCCAGATGCTTTAAGTTTCACTTTCACAGAAAAGTCAAAAGAGGAATGTTCTCTCAACCTCAAAATGGCCTCCTTACACTACAACCACTCAGCTAAATTTTTGAAAGAACTGACTTTGTCAATGGATGAATTGGAAGAGAATTTCCGCAGCATGCTGAAAAGTGCAGCTTCAAAAGTTACTACAGTCTTGGCAACTAAAACTGCTGAATACAGTGAAATGGTATCTTTGTTTGATCTGACACCACGATCAAGAGATGTTGCCAACTTAGAAGATAATGAAGGCTATGCATTTGGATCACAGCCTCTCAAAACAGATACTATTAAGCTTATATTAAATATAAACATTGAATCACCGATTGTCGCAATACCTCGAAAGCCTGGTAGCTCTGAACTGCTTGTAGGTCATCTAGGACAAATATCTATTCAGAATTTTGTACCAGGAGAAGGTGAATCTACAAGTGATAGACTGCAAGTTGAAATTAAAGATATTAAAATGTATTCTTTAAATAGCACTCAATTTATGAGCAAGAAGGAGCCTGCGAGTGAAATACGTCATGGGCTGCATTCTTCTTCAGGTCCTGCCAGTATTAATAGCCAGGAAGAATCCCATTTTACTCGTCATGACTTCTTTGAATCGTTACATAAAGGCCATGGTATGTTAATCAGGGGACTCTTAATTATTTTAATATGAGAAGCAGATGGTGCTAAAAATGTGTATTGACCATAGGTCTGATTGTATACTGTCTCACCCATCCTCCTGAAATACTGCTCAATTTTAATTATGATGGACAAGTTATTTATATCCATTTTTAGTCTCCTAAGCAAAAACTGAATAGTGCCTTTCATGCAGAAATTTAACAAAACATAGCCCTATATACTTACTTTAGCATGGCTAAGAGATTCTGGGCAAGTTAAATAGCTACTATGTTATCTCTGCTGTACAGTCTTTATAGGATAATGAGTTCACTTATTATAATGTTGTTTTAATTTCACTTTCTTAACAGCTTTCCACATTCTGAATAACACCACCATCCAGTTTAAATTGGAAAAGATACCACTAGAGAGGGATTTGGATTTAACTTTTCCTCTGAGTAATGAAGACTTTGGAATATCAAGCATTATGAAGATTGAAGGGAAATTTGTGAACCCTCTTCAGGTATAGTAATGTAGTATTTCCACTACCAGTCTAGAAGTATTTCCCTGCATAGAATATAAGTATTTTTCAGGCAGATGTCTTCAGGTTTAACGTGTTGATAGTTTAGAAATTGGATCCTTATGCATGCGGTTAGAAGAGACAGTCTTAAGTCATAATAACAATGACCAAAATTTAACCTTGTTTTGGGGCATTTTAGACATCTTTATGAATTAGTTTAACTTTTACTTACCCTGAACACCTGTCACAGAAGGAAAAATAAAGGTGCCACTGTCCAAATATGTTTGTTTGCAGTTCTACTAGAAACTAAGAATTAAAATGCCACTATCTTGAAAAAAATCTCTGTAGTGGCAGAGATTTTAAGTAGAGCAAACTGAAACTTCTAAAGCTAAGGAGACAAGCAGTGATGGCCAAGTAGAAAGTTTTTTCCATATATTACTGTATAATCTCAGCATGGTAAATTAAGGCTAGTTTGTATGGTGAATTATTTTTAACTAACTCTGTGGATGCTTTTTGCCTAGGAATACAAGGTATCCTGTTCTAGGATCCTATCCTGTATGTTTCCAGATTGTGTCAACTTACAGAGCTAATACAGAAGAGTTGTTTTGCTTCAGCTTTGCATTGTACCTTGTTCTGGATTATTTTTTTATTTGTGGGCAAACTTAAAATTTGTCTGGTTTGAAATTCCACGCTTTCCACTTGTGAGATTTAGAATGTATGTACTGATCTTATTAATATAGAGAGCTCTAACGTGATGATTATTTTGTGGGGTTTTTTTACATTGTAGGTGGTGTTAGCAAAACATGTGTATGAACAAGTCCTTCAGACTCTGGATAATTTGATTTACAGTGAAGACTTGAACAAATTTCCAACCACTTCTGTATCTTCAACTTGCCATAGTTCTCCTTCAGCATCACTTCATAGTACAGGCACAGAATTCTCAAGTGAACGGAAGGAAAATGGCTTATTCAGCCATTCTGGTTTTAATTCTGTTCCAAACAAGTCATTAGCTATGAGGGAAACAAAATCTTTTACTCAGATACAAGCAAACTTTCATATCTCAGAGCTCCAAGTTCAGTTAAGTGGTGATCTTACACTTGGTGCACAAGGCCTTGTCAGCCTTAAGTTTCAGGATTTTGATGTTGAGTTTGCTAAGGATCATCCTCAGACTTTGTCTATTCAGATTGCCTTGCGTTCTCTGCTGATGGAAGATCTTCTGGAAAAAAACCCAGACTCTATGTATAAGAATCTCATGGTGTCCCGTGGAGCACCCAAGCCATCCAGTTTAGCACATAAGGAATATCTTTCACAGTCTTGTCCCTCGGTATCCAATGTAGAATATCCAGATATGCCGCGTTCCCTACCTTCCCATATGGAAGAAGCACCTAATGTCTTTCAGCTATACCAAAGACCAGTTTGTGCCTCCCGTAAGAAGCAAAAAGAAGATGCTGATTCTGAGTATCCTCTGACTCCACCTCCTTCTCCAACAGCAGACAGATCCAAGTTGCCCTGTGGAAAAAGTAACTTTGATGATTCATTAGTTCATATCAATATATTTCTAGTGGATAGGAAACATCCTGAATTTTCTTCTCACTATAACAAAATTAACCGTAGTGTAGATGTTGATTTTAATTGTCTAGATGTCCTAATAACTTTGCAAACTTGGGTAGTGATACTGGATTTCTTTGGGATTGGATCCACTGCTGATAACCATGCTATGAAGCTGCAACCTGAAGATACTCAGCAGACAGTCAAATCAGAAATAAATACCTTGTCAGCTTCTCAAGCCCAAGAGCCTGTAAACACTAAGCTGGATGTGAAGGTATACTTGAGATGCAAAATAGTAATTGGATTGTCTGTCGTAAAACGTCTGGTTTATAGAAACTTAAGGTGACATTTAAATCAAATGTTTTATATTCTAGTGGAGAATGTGCATAAATTCAGAAACAGTAGCTTTAAAGCATGCGTAGATGTAGTTTAAAAAAAAAAGTGCAGAAGTCACAGAAAAGCAAAACATGCAAAATTATTGGCTCCCTTGCTCTGTGACCCTGCTTAGACGCATGTATATCATTTGAAGGGACGCTGAAGTAGAATGCTCCGTGTTCATCCAATGGAGCTTGCACGGGTAGAGTTTGACACCCACACCCCTGGCCCCATCCAGTCTACTCTATGCCTGAGAGTCTAAGGAAAGTGTAAGTCTTCTGGGCAGTGACTGTTAGTTCCCTGGGATAACGCAGGGCACAGACTAAATGTCGGTGATCTCTTAAATGATAAGGTTGCTTCAATATTAAAGACTTGACATACTGAAATTGGCACTGTGCTGTTCTAGGTACTATGGAGTTTATTTTAAAAAAAGTATATTCTTTTATAAATATATATACATATATGTCTATACATATATATGTATAAACATACATTTTTTTAAAAAAAATTGTGTGTGTGTGTGTGTGTATGTGTATATATATATAGTCTTTGCCCAGAGGTCCTGCAGTCTAACGTAAAAATTACAAGTCCTGGAAGAGACAAGGACAAAGATAACAGTGCTAGGATTTGTTGATGACTTGATCATTCTAAGTTGTTTGGGAGACCCATTAATATTTTCCAAACAAGAAAGTAAAAAGTTTGGTTCCCTCCAGTGTCTCCCAACCAGATAATTCTTGTTTGCCATTTATGTGTTACAGTGCAGTTGTCTTGAAAAAAACTAACAAGATGTTCCAGCTGTGAAGTCATATTGTTTAATACCAGCCTGTACCTTTTTTGTTTGACCAGGTCCATTCTTTATCATTAGTACTGAATAAGACAACTAGTGAGCTTGCTAAAGCCAGTGTGTCAAAACTTGCAGCTCACTTGGAAGTGATTGGTGAGTAGATTGGAGGGCTAAGGTTGTATGCTGTTTAAAATAAAAGGAGACATGCACTGGATTTGTGATTGGAAATGCTTTTATAGTTTGGTGCTCATTGGGTTTTTTTGTGAGTTTCCTGGGCACGATACACATTCTTTTTCCCACTGTTTCTTCCTCTGCTTTTTCAGGCTTGATTTTAAATACTTGCACCCCTCCCAGCTGCCAAACCATTGATCATTTTAGCTGAGATTGGCTAGGATTTTAATACTTCACTTTCACAGAGCAGAACAACAGTGTATATTACTGTTTTAGAGAAAAAAAGAGTTACATCTAAGTTTTCATAAATCAAACTGGTGTGAACACATTACGTATGTATGTAAAGCATAGAGTTATGTTTGGGTTAATACAGTCTTTGTAGCAGAAAGACATGATTTTCTTTGAATATGAGGTTTAATGTTGAAGTGAATGTGATTTATTTGATTACTTGTAATGAGTTTATCCCACTAATAGAAACTTCTGGGTTTTAGTAACATATCTGTGTTTGAGGATCCTAATTGTCTGGGTTTTGTTTTGCAGAGGGAGATTTAGCCCTGCAAGGAAGTATTGGCAGTCTGTCCTTAAGTGATCTTACAGCTCATGGAGAATTTTACAGAGAACGTTTTACTACAAGTGGTGAAGAAGCACTCATTTTCCAAGTCTATAAGTATGAATTTAAACTTCTTGTTACTCCCTACTAGCACCATTAACTCCCCTCCCCCCCTAGAAAAACCAAACTCCAAAAAAACCAAACCCACAGCTGTCAGGTCTGCATGATTCTGCTTTGGATGCTTGTGACTTAAATGAGACTTTGAACATTATCAGTCATAAACTTAGGATTTTTAACTTTTCTTTGTCCTGCAGTGTACATGGCTTATCAGGAAAAATAGGTTTTTATTTCCCTCTAAAGCTGTTCTTGAAAGTATTTAGGTAATAGTTTGTTCCTAGATAAAATAGGAGTTGTTTTTTATAAGTTGGAATCGGTTTTCAATGGATGAAATAGATTTTCTATTGCTCCTTAATTTTGGAATTAAGGGTTTGCTTTTGTCATAGTGTACTCTTGAAGTTCTTCTGCTTTGTGTAAAGCAATAGTTCTTAGCCTGTGATCTTTCATGGTTTTCCACCACTTCCTCCACCCACCAGAATTAAGCAGATTAGAAATTATCCAAGTAATGTTATGGAATTAATTTCAGATGTAACAGCACACTGATTCAGAGTTGAATCTATGTATTATCATGGAGTAGAGTACTTACCTTGTAAGCCACTGTTCAGATGTATAAAATCACCAAAGGTGTATCTGTTAAATGTAGTGATTAGAGGTACGTTCCAAATGTAGAATTTTCCTTTTGCTTAATTAAAACTAAGTAGCACTTAAATATACATAATTTAGAAATAATTAATATAAAACCAGTTTTTCATATCTATAATTGAAATAGTTTAAATTATATACTGTGAACATCAGTTAAATCCACTATACTATTATTTTGAATGCAACAAAATGCATAGCAGTATTTGTAAAATGTAGCTAAGATAACTAAATTTTTCTTTCAACCTTTATCACAGATATGGGAGGCCAGATCCATTGCTGCAGAGGGAGTGTGATATTCGTGTCACTCTACGAATGGCATCTGTTCAGTATGTGCATACTCAGCGTTTCCAGGCAGAGGTGGTGTCTTTCATCCAACATTTTACTCAGCTTCAGGATGTCTTGGGGCGGCAAAGAGCAGCAATTGAAGGACAAACAGTATGTCTGGGGTTTTTTCTGTCTTTCCTAGCCTATTTTTGGAAGTTGAAATGCAGTATGAAATTTATGTTAATGCATTAACTTAGTGAGTTGAAGTGATGGGAGGTTTTAGAGTTCTGATGTTAATGGAGATGGTTCATCCTCATCTTCTAGTTAAAAGACCTTGTTTAGGACCGTTCTGCTGCTATTTGAAAGTGTAGAATACCAAATTTGCACATTATTTAAAATGTTGGCACCTGGATCCTGCAGTGTGCACTGATACAGGTGTTTTCCTATCTTTGTGATGCTGGACAAAAAAGGGCTCGAGATTTTATCTTGCCTTTTTCTCCACAGTTCACCAGGTAGTTATAATACCTGAATAAAGAGAACCAAGTGAGAAGTCCTTCTGTTCTACTCAGGTGTATGTCTTTGATTAATTATGATGGCTGGTAGACTGAGAAAATCAGATGCTGAACTTCTGCATGATAGAGTATATAAATAATTATGATAGTCATAGCCTATGTTGTACAAAACCTAATGTGGCAGTGATTGATATAGTTAATAGTAGTAGTCTTGTTTAAAAAGTTGCTTCTAATAATTGGAAGAAAGACAGTTAATGCTTGCATATATTAAAAAGCTTCATTGTGCATCAGTTAGGAAGTTTGAATCTGATTTTGAAACATCTGTTCTAAATGATATTTTTTTCCTTTTGTAAATAATTTTTCTCAAGTAATCTTTAAGTAGTGAGCTGAGTAGTGTCTGTTATGCCTCTTAGTTCAGTGGTGACAGTATGTTTCACTCTTGATTGCTGCACCTGTTGCACAGGTGTGTGCTGTTTACATCATAGTGCTTTTTTAACTAGCTTTTATTCTCTGCCTAAAACAAAAGTTCAAGTTGGTTTGGGGTTTTTTGGTATAAAATTTTATCACATCTTAATTTTGTAAATCAAGGAATAGTGTTCCTGAATACAGTACTAATCAGTGTGAAATAATCACCCACTTCCTGTATATTTTTTTTAATTTTTTTTAATCAATTTTTGCTCTTCCCAGGTAAGAGATAAAGCACAGCGAGCTTCCCGAGTTCTCCTTGATATTGAGGCTGGTGCTCCTGTTCTTCTTATACCTGAAAGCTCAAGGTCTAATAGTCTTATTGTGGCTAATCTTGGAAAACTGAAAGTCAAGAACAGATTTCTGTTTGCGGGTATGCCGGGTACTTTTTCATTAAAGAACAAGGTAAGAACATTACTTCTTAATTTAGCAGCTTGTGGGTTTGCTAGTTCTTGTGCATTTTATTGCTATATCAAAATGGTAAATGGTTCTTAGATTTTACTTTATATATATATACTTTGTACTACTAGTAGTGAAACAGTCCATGCCAGTGTGCTGGGTAGTCTTAATTGGATCTGGCCTGTTGCTGATTGTATCCAGCTGCTCCCTTCTGTGCCTGCACCTGGGCTTGCTTTCTGAGACCTTCAGGGCACAGGGGAGATGGTTCCATGGAATTCACTAGAACTGGCTTCATTAGGAAGCAGGACCCAGCTGGGTGCACACCTGAACATAAAAGCGTAACAGGCTTTCAGCTAAACCTGTTTGGTAGCTTCTTCAACTCTTCACCAAACAAATTTTCAACAGCGTGAGCAGCGGAAAATAGAGATTTGTATTGGCTGAGACTTGCTGGAACACACTGGAGAACAGGATAGGTGTTAGTATTTTTCTTTTCTGCTGTTAATGAAACTGAGAGTGTGTAGTTGCTTTGAGTAGGTGAAACATAAAGAAAGGTTTCCAGTGAATGCTTGAACCTAAGGCTAGACGCAGGACAGGGAATAATAGCTGGTGTTGCTGTTGAGAGGTACAGCCACAAAATTTGGGGTAAGGAAGATCTGTCTTGGATGGCTTTCTATATCTAACCTATGCAACAAAATAGGTAGCTGTTCTGGGAACCCCCTAATGCCATTTCAAAGGGGGACAGAAATTAGGTGGACTAAATTGCTGCAGCAGTTCTGTGGTGTGTCTGTTTACCTCCATCTGTTTCATATCTACTAGTATCTTTACTGTAAGGAAATACTGGACTGTTAATACTGAGTTGTCTTCAGTACTCTAGTGTACTGACATATTGAAAAGTTTGTAAGTGGTAGATTCCTAAATTAATGTTAGAAGTTAAAAGAAAGGATGTGTGCATAGTAATTCTATTTCAACTTAAAAATACTGTGTTCTGTAGCACTGTAGAAATTTGAGGGTTTGAGGTGGGGTTTGGGGTTTTTTTGTTTTGTTTTGTTTTCATTTTTTCTCTGTCCTGTGTTTATTTTTGAGGATCGGATTTTACAAGGCAATGCGTACAAGGATCCAGGTTTTTTTGAGGTATTTCAGATCTTTATAGTAGTGTTCAGGTGCTCCTCATTCATTTAAAAAAAAAAAGAATGAAATTTTCTTATGGAATTTAGCACCTTAAAAGTTCCTTTACATGTTAAAAATGGCGTTTCTGTTCTAAAGACTTTGCTGGATTCTGTAAGAATTGGAATTAAATTTGTTGTGGTGTGCTCTTCCTGCATGTCTGAGGAGCTGTTAATTTGGATTTATTGCATAAATTAATAGATTTATAGATGATGTGATGATTTTTCTTTGCATGTACTTTTCAGTCTTGTCTTTAACAGTTAAATGTTAATGTCTTCAAATTTTTAATCTTAAAATCCTTGATCATGGCTGCAACAAATTTTTCCAATGAATACTATTTAAAAAACATGTAAGGTAAGTAAGATTAATAATTAAAACCAGAAAGGAAAGTTTATGGGTAAGGATTGTGTGGTGACATCAGAAGGTGGATACAGAAAGAAGGTGGGAAATGATAGTAACAATACTGCAGTCACAGGTAAAGTGAGTGGTCCCAGAGTAAGTGGCAAGTGGATCACTAAAGACAGATGGTTGTTACTTGCTAGGGCATGTGAAGCTGAGTAAAATTGAAACATGAGGTTAATAAATTTAAATCAGGACAGACTAAATGAACCCTAAAATTGGCTTTGGAGTATAAAGGTAGTGCGTAAACCTCTTCCACCAGGCATATGTTTTTGGGAGAATAAATTCCTAATGTTGATGTGACTATTTTACTAGAGAACGGCTTTGCAGATTTTTGGTGCTAGACAGCATCATGAAGGTGGAAAAGCTCATAAGATTTCCACTGGATATGTGGTGGTAGGGAAATGTCTAAAATGTTATACATCAATATAAATGGGCTTTTCTTTTTTCATCTGTGGGGATTTTAACAACAAGGGTAGGGATTTACTCTATCTTAAACTTAGATACTGCAGAAAAATTTTGGGACACATTTCGGTATGATGACTGAACTATTTTAAGTGCGTAAAATGGTAACTTCATGTATAGAAGTGTTTGTTCACATATTCTAATATGAAGTTGCTGACATGATCTTGCAGAAATAATGGCATATATTGTTTTCATCATCTGAAGATGTTCTGAAAAACAGCTTTAAATATTTAACAAACTTTATTCTACAGAAGTGCTTGATATCTTGACAATCTTAACCCTCTATTTTGTATTAATTTCATTTACATGGGCTTTTTTTTGGTTTTATGCAAAACCCACTGGTTTTGAATTAAGTTCTCTTTGAAAAGATTTTGCAGCTTTTTTGAAAATGTTGCTGAAACAAACTTTTTAAAAAAGAAAATGCTTTAATCTGCTGTTAAGGTTATAGGAAAAAAGTTTAGCCGTCTTTCTACAGTAAAAGGTACTGGCATTCAAATAAAATACTTAGTTTTTTGACAGGAATTTGCTGCAGCTTGAAACTTGGTGTATTGGTTCCTTAGAATTTAAATTAAAAATCTATTGTTAATTACACAATTACTTTCATTAGCAGGATTCAGTTCAATTTTCATCTCCTTTGGGAACCCCGAAACACAGCATGAAGAAAACAACAAGTGCTGACGAATCAAAAGTAGTGATGGAAGGATTATTCATGAAAAAATCATCAGGAACAAACATTTCTAGGCTGAAGAGTGAGCCTGTGCTAAATACATTGAGTAAGCAACAAGGGCAACAATCAAAGCTACCTATTGTACCAAACCCTGACAGCCCCGGTATGTGATAAACAGTAGAAACCCCATATAGCTCTTCTTTTTCCTTGTAAAATAATGCAGTGCAATTTTGCTTCTATCTTACGTGACACTGAAAAAGTAAGGATCGTGGTCTAAAGATTGTAGTTTTAAAAAAGAAATTACTTCTTAGTTTCAAGGTAGATTTTTGCAGCTGAGAGGATTAAGGAATTGTAGTTCAGTTTCTGCAATCCTGCAATTTGGGCATGTTTTGAGATGCGTATTGCAGACGTATAAGGAGTATAGTTGGACTCATAACTAAGAGTTTACATATACCTGTGAATGAACTTGGCATTTGGTAGTTACAGATACTGATGAGTGTGAATAAAAAAAATAAAAAAAGAATCAGAATAACTTCCAGGAGAAACTAAATTCCTTTCTAAAGTAAGTTGCACTAGTTTTGTATAGATCCTGTTTTTTCTTTCTAAATGTGTTATCTCCTGTGCACTTGCAGAAGATCACATCTGCCTCTTAGACTGCATTGTGGTTGATCTGCAGGACATGGACATATTTGCTGCAGAAAGGCATCAGAGAGAGTATTCAAAGGCTGTGGAAGATACTGGTGCGGACTTGAGCTTTCCATCCTACTTTGTGAGGCAGACAGGAGGAAGCCTATTAACAGAACCTTTCAGACTGAAGTTACAAGTAGAGAGAAACTTGGACAAGTGAGTTTGTCTGAACAGGATCACTTCATGCTGTCAGCCTAAACCCAGTGTTTTAGATGCCTTTTATTGTATCTTAAAAGTATTGTCTGCTGTGTTATATTGCCTTGAAACACTGAGTTTTTTTCCTTTGTTGTAGAGAGCTAAGTCATGCAGTTGCAGACATATCAATACATGGCAATCTGTCATCAGTCCATTGCTCTCTGGATTTGTATAAGTATAAACTGATACGTGGACTGCTGGAGAACAACCTTGGGGAGCCTATAGAAGAGTTCATGCGGCCTTACGATTTGCAGGATCCAAGAATTCATGTAAGAGGAAGTACATGCAGTTGAAATTCTGTCTTGAAATATCTGGGGGTTTTGCTGATTAGGCTAATTATCTGTTATTTTCTTGTAGTTTACCAGGTGGACTGGTAGATTTAAAAAAAAAAAAAAAGAAAGAAAATTTAGGTAGACAAACAGTGAAGGAACCTTTTTGTCTGTAGATATTCCTGTGAATTCAGGTTTGTCTTGGCAATACTGTTGCCCTTTCAGGTGTGGCTTGCTCTTATGATTGCTTCATGTTTCTGAGATTCTAATCTTTAGAAGAGACAATGCAAGAGACAGCCATCATTGCTTGTATTTGTTAGTTTGTTTTACGTCTGCTGAAATATATATGTGGGGAAAAAGTTAACAAATCCATGAAAACTGTTCTTTTTTTTTTTCCCTGAAGTATTTACGCTGAGCTGCTATTGCAGTATATTTATTGGTACATTAATAAGCTTAAGATATTTGCATTTGAATTGAGATTTTGGAGGGACTTGAAGGTTATTGTGTAATCATGTGCAGGGTGATGATTCCTTTCCCGTGGTGTCTATGGCATTCCTAAAGACTTATGAGACTGTGGAATGTGTATTACTTTGTGTTAAAAGCCCTCTTTTTGTCCTATAAATCTAAAAGAACAACTTCAGTAATAAAAGCTTCACAGCAAAGCTGAGCCTTTTTTTTTTTTTTTTTTTTGAGCAGGTTCTCAAGTATCACCTATTTGGCTATTGTCAAATACTATCCTTTCAGGAAGAGTGTGGGCAGCACCTGAAAATAATCAATATTTATCCTTATTACTGGGAAGGGAAGTTGTTGAACAACATGTTTCCTCTTGATCTTGTGGGGCTTCTGAGCACATGACTGTAATCTCTACTTAAGCAAATACATGACCACAGCAGGGGGGAAAATTGCTAGGAAGCATCTAGGATTGTTTTTAAGAGAGGAGAGAATGGGTGAAGTTCTCCTAATAAAAGTATGCTCTTCATGTCAGGCTTTTCACCTAAAACTTTAAAAAAAACTCTGATTTAATAATAGATACCTGAAGGTACCTGAAACAGTTTGAAAGAATTGTTGGCTGTTTGGGGGGGTGGGGTGATGTCAACGTTTTGTTTAAGAACAAAGAAGCTATAGAACAGTAGTGTTAAAAAAGGATTAATAGACATTTTTCAAGTTGAAGGCTGCACTGTTGCGAAATGTAATTTTTCCCAAGCAATGGTTAATGGAACTCTTTGAAGGAGAAAGACACTACAGCTGTTTGCATTTGTCTGAAATAACAAAATTTAATTCAGGAATGAAAGTTAAACAGATGGTCTTAAAAAGAATGTTGGTGTGTTCCACTTTCAGACAGTTTTGAGTGGAGAAGTGTATACTTCTATGTCATTCCTCATTGACATGGTGAATGTGAGTCTGGAACTGGTGGATCCAAAAGGAAAAGATGGATGCAGCTCTTTAGCCAGGTATGAGTTTTCTCTTGTTACTGAATACCTTGTCCTAAATACTCTGCTCATTTGAGAGATTATAGGACAGGAATTAACATAATACATGAAATTATGGTTTAATAATGCAATGAATAGAATTTCTTATTTAGAGTCCAAATTGAGAGTTTCAGCTGATCTGAAAGATGAAAGGGAATGACACTGTTCAAAAGATACCATCTGTGTCTTTCACGTTGTCCTTGAAATCATAGTACGGTAACCAGTTGTCTTGCCCAAGACAAATGGTACTTTAATTAAGGAAACGTTGAGACGTAATCTAAAAAAACCAATTTTTTCTATGTTGGTTTTATTGGGTTTTTTTAATCCAGAAGGTTCTGTATCAGTGGAAAATATTACATAGATCTACTTTCTATCTGTGTTATGTGAGATGTTATTATAGTTGGTTTAGAAAATATGTAAATGAAAGTGACTTGTAGAAATAAATGAGCTACAAGACTCTTAAAAGTATTGGTTTGCTCTTTATTCTTGTAGGTTTGATTTCAAGAAATCCAAGTTGCTCTTTGAAAGCTCTTCAAATGGAACAAAGTCTGTAAATTTGGTTTCTCATTCCATGATGGCATTTGACACACGCTATGCTGGACAGAAGTCTCCTGCAGGCATGCCAAATGTGTTTAATTGCATCTTTCAGTCATCAAAGAATACTAGTAGTCCAGGAGCAATCCAGATTGAATTGCACTTCAGGTTGGTAATTCTGGGATTTATTTGTTTGTTTTTAATAATGACATACTCGATCAGGATTGTCTTGTTTGTAATACAGCTGTTATTAAAGTAGATAAACTTTCTGGCATTGTATTTAAATCTGAAAACATTTTTGGGGTGGTCAGTGGTACTTGATAGATTGAAATCTGCAGTCATTAATTAACTGAAGGTTGTTGGATTCGCCCCCCCCCCCCCCCCCCCTCCACAAAATATAAGCGTGAGTGGTCGA